GTAACCCAGCTTAAGCCTGAACTACGAAGGGTCTTCGCGGGTTTAGGCTTCGTGAGGCCGAGGGTTGAGGGTCGGAAAGGTTTTGAACGTTTCATGCCGCAAGGCTTTTAGGGATTAGGGTCTTGACTGTTGTCGGTTTAGTGTTCCATATAGGTACTTTGGGGCCACAGTCTCTACTATTTGGGCACGTGGACCCTTCGGGGAAACCCTAAACCCTAAAACCCTAAAACCCTAAACCCCTAAACCCCTAAACCCGAAAACCCTAAGCCCTATAACCCTCAACCCCAAATCCTGAAACTCTAAAACCCTAAACCCTAAATCCTAAACCCAGAAAGGCGGTGTAATCTCTGTGGTCTCCTCGCCCTTTGCGTAGAAGATCTGTCCGAAGCCCAAGGCAGGTCGGGGACGCGTTCGAAGTCCGGCACCTTCCGCAGTGATTTATAATTAGAGTAGGCTTTTGGGACATTTTTTACTACTATAACTCTAATAAGGACAACGAGGAATAATATTGTCAATTATCTGGGTAGTTGTCAAAATTATGGTCCCTTTTTGGGTACCCCAAATATTAGGTGCCGTATTATATTAGGGACCCGAAAAGGGACCCTAATTTTGACAACCACCCATATACAGAACCCTTAATCCGAATTACTAGTTCCTACTTATTAGTTACTAATTACTGATTACTAATCACTAATTGCTAAATACTACTTACTGATTAGTTACTGTAACAGATGATGATATGAAAACTAACCCTGGCAATGCTACCCGCAGCCAAAGCCGGGATAATAAATCCCTGAACCCAAAAACATGAGATCTGCTGTTATGTTCAGGTTTTCCTGCAAACCGAAACCATAAACACAGCAGAACCCAGAGCGGCCCCATGAAAACCCAAGAAGACACAGATTTACAAGCGTATTAAGATCTCAGGACGAGCTAATAGAACGTCACAGCAGCAGTACTGAAGCGCATGTAGTGGCAAATTGGGTGGGTTTTCGGGGGGTATGTCAGCTTATGCCTATGCCGGAGCAAGAAGGGAATGTTGCCACTGGCTTGGAGTGTATATTCTAGTATACCTACATAAATGACTAGAAGACTTCACAAGCATTCATTCCCGATCCATGTCTTAATAATTTCAGATGAGCCTGGGCCAAGGACTTCCTCCAACCAGCGTGGCGGCCCTCGGTGAGCCGGGTCCATCGGCTGCAGCCGGATCTTGGTATCCTCAACGATGCGTTCAGTGCTATGTCTCAGGCTCCGGGGTGTCGACAGGTCTTAGGCCCCGGGCCATAAACCCTGAACTATTTCAGAGTGCTTGACGAATCGAAATAGCTCCAGGAGAACAAGCACGCTTCAAGTCATCCGGATTATGGTTTGGGGCTTAGGGTTTAGTGATTCGGGTTTAGGTTTCAAGGTTTAGGGCCTAGGGTGCGGGGTTCAAGGTGTTGCAACTATGGCTTCAGGTGTACAGCCAGCGTAGAAAGGCGAAGCCCTCCGCTGGAGAAGAGCGGCGGCATCATCTGCCACAGAAGTCCATGCTACCTGGGACATTTACATCGGGGGCAAACCCTAAACCTCAAACCTCAAACCCTAAACCCTAAACCCTAAACCCCAAACCCTAAACCCTAAACCCCAAACCCTAAACCCCAAACCCTAAACCCTAAACCCCAAACCCTAAACCCTAAACCCTAAACCCTAAACCCTAAACCCTAAACCCTAAATCCTAGACACCCGAAACCCTGGAGGGCTGAGCCGGAGCCAGGGGTCGTGTATGGCTTGCGAGAGAAGTTAGACTAGGGTTCCTTTAAAGGGGTCCTTCAAGGGCTATTATAGGGGTTACTATAAGGGCACTACAATATAGGGGCCTGAACAATTAGAACGGACGCGGAAATCTGAAAGTTGCGGATTTTTAAACCTCAACTATTTTGGTGGTTGTGAATGTTAGCGTCCCTTTTTCGGTCCTTATTATTTATTATAATACGGCACCCAATATTTAGGGTACCCAAAAAGGGGCCATAATTTTGACAACCACCCATTTGCGGTTCGGAGTTTAGGACGCAACCCTAAACGGCAAACCCCACAAGCGAAGTGGGAAATACAAGGGCTTGAACGTTTTGCGCAGAGGTTTCTTAGGGCAATGATATACTTACCAAGAAGGTGGAACCCTAGTAACTCCGGGAGAAGATAATAGGGTGGTTGTCAAATATTACTTATTAGGGTACCCCAAAAGGGACCATAATTTTGACAACTACCCAACAGGTAATCATTCGGGCCCATATATTGTGTGCTTCAGAGTCGCGAAGTTTGGAAGTTAACCCTGAACCCTAAACCGTGTAAACCGAAAATCCTCAACCCTTCCTGTGTATTTGAAACCCTAAACCCCAAGTCACAGCTCAAACACGGCGGCATTGAGATTTTGAGGATGTTGTGTTATGGACAAAATGTTTGTTTGCAAGTGGGTTGGGTGCATGGCTCAGGCTTTGGGGTTTGAGGGGCTGTGGGTTTACTTGGAGGATCATGGGACTTAGTAAGTAAGGTCATAAGTACCTTAATTGGGGTTATAAGTAGCTATAAGTAGAGTTACCCTAGTTATAACCTAGTTACTAAGTCCCGTGGTCCTTTAAGTAGGGTTTTGGATTTAGGATTTCGGGCTTGTGAGAATCTAGCTTCGAGGCTAGCGGAGGGTGTGCAGCCTAGGGCCCTGACTTCCCGAATTTGCCATTGGTTTCCTGAATTTGGGGTTTAGTTTGCTCTACAGCACATCCTTGTAGTGTTTCCCACGTCTAGACTGCGGTTGGGCAGTGGTTCAGTGACCTGTTCCGGCTTACCGGCTGTCCCATGCCTTTCGGGGTGGGCAGAGTGCCGTGCCAACACGCACAAACTGCTGAACCCAAAGTTCCGAAGAAAACATGGGTCAAGGGTCTGGGGTTCAGAAGTTAGGCCTGCCGGGTTCAGCTTTTGAGGCTTGAGGGTTCAGACTTCGACTTTCCGGGGACACAGTATCAAAACCCTTGCGCTGACACTTGCAACATGCCAGGCTGCCAGCGCGACACCGTTGTTGCAGCCAAGTAGTTCAGGTATCCTGGCAGTGGACGGGTACTTGTACTGGGCCTCAAACCTGAACCTCGAACTTAACCCTCAGCGCAACCCCGATTGACCCTAGCCCCTCAAGCCCAACAACTGATCCCTTTCGTGCAGTGCCCAGGATTGGAAGCTGCTTCCACCCTGAACCCTAAATCAAAAACTCCACACCCCTCCTCGAACCCTCCTAAGGGTTTACCTGGCACCGACGTCTCCATTTCAATCGTCGACAGAGGCTCTGACGCTTCTAAACTGTCAACGACTCTCACCCAACACTCCCCCCAAACAAACTGTCATACTAGTAGTAGTAGTAGTAGTAGTAGTAGTAGTAGTAGTAGTAGTAGTAGTAGTAGTAGTAGCAGTAGCAGTAGTACTAGTAGTAGTAGTAGTAGTAGCAGCAGTAGTAGTAGAAAAGATCCGCCAACATCCGACAACCCAAGAACCAAGGCCCTAAACATCGGAGCAAAGAAGAAGGCCGCACCTCTCCACCTGCTCCGCGTCTGCGAAGCCAATCATCTGCCAGGTCAAACCAGGGACAACTTGTTAAAATTTCAGTTAGGGCCAGGATCATACAGTTGATCAGGTTTTGGGGTATGGGGTGCAGCCTGGGGTATGGGGTTCTGCATTTACCGCTGATGCTGAAGCCTCAAGTGTTTCGAAAAGAAGGCTTTGAACGGACATAGATCTTGGTGTCCAGGAAGGTCTTGCTGCCTGCTTGGCTTTCATTTCTTCACCATAAGAGCTTAAGGGTCTGCTCGGTGAGGATCTGCTGAGTTATTGAAACCCCAGCCGTCGAACCCTAAAACGGGCATACCCCGGAGTCTTCACGGCACTGCCGTGGTTGGGCTCCTTTCTCGTGGCTAGCTTTCGGCCTCGGATTTGGTTCGGCTTCCTGACTAGCTCACCATGTATGGGCCTGTCTATCGATCTATCTATCGGTCCTTCCATCGACCGATCTATCCATCCATCCATCCATCCATCCCTCCCTCCCTCCCTCCATGCATCCATCCCAATACATCATATCCTCCATCGGACTTGCTACGTGTGTATATGTGTAAATGCATTGACAAGCTTACATGTTAGCGTGCCTGCATGTGTACTGTGCATGCATATACCGTAATTACACACGTACATACGCACATACGCGGCTATCTACGAAAGCCACACCACAACTCCAAGCACCGCCGCCTGCCTCTTTTGCCATGCCAACCACTCACATGGTGCATGACTAGTCATTCCAAATTCGGTCCCTGCGCTGGGGGTCCTTCTGGTTGATCATGCACAACAGCTGCCACACGTTGCCGTTGTACGTCTTCATTCTCGGCAGTTTCTTTTGCGCCGAGTATCGTTGCATTGCCTCCATAACTTGCTGCCGTGTGCTTGATGTCGATTTCAAGACATTCTCCTTGAGCAACAGTTTGCGCACGTGTTTGTCTGAAGGCGGCAACTGCCACTGTCCGCTGCTCCGACTGGAAAGGAAAGCAGATCTGATACTTTTGCATACACTCGCAGTGCTGTCACCAACCTGGGGCAACGTTGCCATCTTCCGCAGAAAGCGCTTGTTCTTGCTAAGGTTTGCGAAGATCTGAACAGCCTCTTGTAGATCAGAGTTCAAAGACTGGTCAAGGTATCCAAGCTTCCTGAAGGCCTCTTCCACTAGTCTCGCAGTGTCCTTCAACAAGAACGGCCCCGGGCTTTGGGCCACAAGCCACGCGGTTTTGCTTCCGAACTGTTGGCATAACTTCTGGGATGGTCGTCCACCGGCACCCAAAGGTAGAAAGAATGCGAGCTTTTGCCGATAAGGCTTCCACTGCTGAATTCTGGCCTGCGAAACCGTGCTGTGCATCTCAGCCATACAAGCAGAGCTTGGCCACACTGTGAGAGGCCCTAAGCTATTTGTGAACCAGAACTTGGCTATGCACGGTGACATGTAGGCTCGCTCCCCTGCACTGTACTTCCACTTGTTCAAGAAACTCTCCAGCACAGGGGTTTCTTCAGCGAAGGATCTGGGAACAAAGGGCAGGCATCTTCGCACTGAGCCACTGCCATCGGCATGCAACACAGCCTTAACTTTGTAGACAAGCTGGTCCTTCCTCTCCAAGCGCAAGACCGTGGCGCCTGCACTCTCATACTGGTGAATGCTTCCTTGGTATTCCGATGGCATCAACACAACCACCTCGCTCCCTGAGTTTATAGCCAGCTGGACATTCTCTAGGAAATCGGTGTCCGACACCATCAATGCAATCTTCCTCACTGAAGGCTTCGCAGCCAACTTGCGCAGCTCCCTTTTGATGACCTGGTCTGTGGGATCAGAATAACCCCCAACGGGTTTCACAGCGTGGAACTTGAGGCTATGCTTCTTCAAGAAGGTCCGCCATCTTCGACTGGTGCATCGTGAAGGCTCTGCAAACACTGTCGTGCTGACCTTCTGGCCGTCAAAGAGTAGAATGCTCAAGGCAGCTTCGATTTCGTGCAAGCTGTGTTGGTCCGCATCCACCAGTAGCTGCGTTCCAGATGCCCACAGGCAAGCTTTGGCACGCCTTGCACGATATCCCCGTTTTGCCTGCAAGAACTGACACGTGCCAAAAGCGAAGCCTGCGATGCGACAAACGAGCTCATGAGAGGAGTCCTTGCGAACGCTTGCGGGCGAACACTGACGACTGCATGGAACCAAGCTTGGTCGAAGGCCACCAGGCTTCTCATGGGAAAGTCCAGAGTGGAAGAGACGTACATGGAGGAACATTTACGGAGATCGTCGAAGCAATTCGGAGTCGCAGCCCTCGAAATGTTGACCGAATGAGGTAGAGGAGAGCGGCTGCGAAACGACTGTATACTTTTTCGGGGACTGACCCCTCAATCCGTGGTTGCCCAGTATCCTAGGGGAAATACAAGGGTTATAGTAATACCTCAGAAAAGTTAAAGGCTGTTGCACCGACTCTCCGCCCACCGACAGCAATATGCGGGGGCCCGTTCTGCGGGGTTTAGAACCCAACGTTTCAGGATCCAGTGCGTAGGGTTGATAGCTTACGGAAAGTCAACCCGCTTATATTTATACTATATTTAGAATAATAAGGAACCCCCAAAAAAGTATAGGTAACTATTCAGGCCCCTATATTATATACCCTTGTCGGCATGGCAGCGATTCGCTTGTCACATCTTCTTGTGTGCGACTCAGCTTTGTAGTGATGGAAAACTTCGTCAGAGCTGCAATCGAAGTATAATCAAGACAGACCTGGGACGAACGTCCCCTCCTTGGCAGTTGGTCGATGTATGACATGTTGGCCAAAATCGTGCATGGCTCTCAAGCCCCGAACGAACTCCACATCCTTGCAAGGGGTTTGCACCTTGATCGGTGCCAGGGAGTCTGCCACAGCACTGACCTTGCTTGTAGTGCAAACTGTTGAACTCAAGAGTGTCAGACTATTGATTCAGACATACACATCCTACGAGTACACCGCACACGCAAGGAGCACCAACGTCAACCGCTCTTGCACTGAAGCCCTACACCCTAAGATTGCTCGAAAGATGAGACAGAGACCAAGGAAGTAGGTGAATATTGTAGGAACCTGATTAAGAAACCCTGGGTCTTTATTAGGGCTATAAGGGTTCCTGGAATGAGTCCTCTTATTTGGGGGTTATAGGGCCAGGGTTTCTTAATCAGGTTCCTACATTCCGGCTTCTTGAACCTGCTTGTAATTAATGCTTAAAGCACAATCTCCGTACTGAGTCCCTCCCTAAAAACTTTAGGAGCAATGCCAAGCCACAAGGTGAAGCTGAAAGGCACTGGCAATGATCAGATGACCGTGGTGAAGGAGCAGGCTCGGTGCCTGCGGCGAGCCGAGAAGTACATCAGAGAGTAGGGTTTAGACAGGCTAAAACCCAAACCGTGAAACCCTAAACCCTAAACTCTAAACCCTAAGCCTAAGTGGCTGCCCAACTTGTCAGGGGACCCCCTAGCCGGGCAGGGTTCGGGCCAAGGCTCGCAGACTCGGGATCTTGATTCCGAAACCACATCCCTTCAACCTGAAATTCTGTAGCCACCAGGACCTAGATTCTAAACTCTTGCCACCAAGCTTGGGTACTGCCCCCATACGGTATCAGTCTATAACAAGGATACTATGAAGGGCCTAAGATATCTATCTTATGAAGATCATTAAACTGTTACTGAGTGGGGCAGTACCCAAACCTAAAGCGCAATTCAGGTCTTAATACCCTAATACCTTAATTCCCTAATACCCTAATAACCCTAATGCCCGAATACCCTAATACCCGAATGCCCTAATGCCCTGATACCCTATATTGCCCGAATACCCTAATGCCCTAACGCCCTAATACCTTAATACCCTGATACCCTGAAGTCTTGTTCAAGAGTCCAGCCAGGAGGCCCTCATAATTGGTAGAGGGTGGAAGAATATAGGGGCCTTGATAATTAGTGAAGGGTTTTGGGCTACATTATGCTATAATTTTGATCAGGGACCCCAAAATTCTATAGGTAATGATTATAAGAGTCTGGTTCGGTGCGGCTGCTTTTTCATTATCTGCAGTTGCTGGTGGGACGGGGAGGGGGGGTTAGGTCTTGGAGGAAGGTTTCGCATGCCATGATTCAATCACACTGATCCTTCGAGCTCTTGAAGCTAAGCATTGGAAACGATGGGCACGGGATTCCGGGGTATGGGCCACACTCTAGCCCTTGAAATTGGGCCAAGCCATATGTAATTGAAGTGGAAAAGATCTGGGCGCAGGCGTCGAGTGGCTGGCCCCAAATCTTGGCACTTCGCTCACGTATCCGGCTCGCTTACTTTAGGGCCCTTTAGGGTTTGGGGTTTAGGGCTCTGAACTTACCCGACGAGGCCTTCGTCCTTTTGCGCCTAGCGTGGTATACAAACTCACACTGAGCCCTGAACCGTGCAACCCTAAGCAGCAAAAGAACATACGCCCAACCACGGTCAGGGTTCAGGGTTGAGAGTGTTTGCTTTTAAAGCATTGAGAGTTTAGGGTGCAGGGTCTCTCCTGCCGCCAGGCCGGTTCACGGCCGAGATCGAGGGTCCGTCGGGACAATAGCTGCATGGTCAGCGACGAGAAGACAGACACCTGCTCGGCTGGCGAGCTGCGAGGTGATCTTTATAAGGGAACCATAGTGACAGCAGATGAAGGGATCAGCCGACAATGCAGGGGCAGCGGCAGTGGAAGCAACAGCAGCAGCAGCAGCAGCACCAGCAGCAGCAGCAGCAGCAGCAGCAGCAACAGTAGAAGCCGACGTCGCAGTTGCAGTACTACCACCACACCAGACCAGGTTCGTTCAGAAGTAGCAGAGACATAGCCCTCTGACATGATGAGCGAGAATAGGCTGTTGTGTCACGTCCATGACCAGAGCCTGTGACCAGAGAATCTGGCCGCTGGAATAGGACACGGTGTACAGACGGCCATTCCTCGCATCTATCGGAGTCGCAGCCATGCGTTCAAAAAGCAGCCTAATCTCTCTTCTTTCAACAACCGGGCCCACAAAAAGTTCAAACTTTCTAAGATAGAGCTAATATGTAAAACCAAAAAGTTTAAAGTTCCCCCGTTCACTATCAAAGTAATTAACTGCCTTGGGCTTCAACGCCAAACTTTTCGGCCGCCGCGTGCCGGAACTGCCAAGCTGGCGGATGCTCAGCTTAGGGTTTAGGGTTTAGGGTTTAGGGTTTAGGGTTTAGGGTTTAGGGTTTAGGGTTTAGGGTTTAGGGTTTAGGGTTTAGGGGTTTAGGGGTTTAGGGTCTACGGTTTAGGGTCTAGGGTTTAGGGTTCCCGAAGCCCTAAGGGCCCATGTGCCCAAATACGGTTCTGGGCTTTGAAGTAACCACGGAGAGAAAAGTATAGACTTTTATTTCATAGTGGGTTCCCTTTAAAGTAACAGGTCCCAAAAAAGTGTTAAAGTATGGTACTCCTAAGCCCAGGGTTGATTACCCCTTATAAGGAATGTACCATAATTACCATAGTTTAGGGTCCGTAAGGTAATGCAGGATCTATATCCTCAGCCGTACTATATACTTTGGCCTTGAAGCAGTCCCTATAGGTACTTTGGGCCCAGAAGAATAGTATACATTTCCGGCGATACTTGCACACAGCTCCCAGTATGGGAAACCCTGTCTTCTAGTGCAAAAGTACAAGGGACCAAGGGATTGTCTGGGGACCCTGAGCCCACAACTCTAACCCTAAAACCCAAACCCTAAAACCCTAAACCCTAAAACCCTAAACCCTAAACCCCTAAACCCCTAAACCCCTAAAACCCTAAACCCTAAAACCCTAAACCCTAAAACCAACAGGGGCCCGGAGTCTGGATGGTGAAGTCATTGGCGTCGGTCAGCCTTTCAGCTTCTTAAGGGTAAAAGGAAGGACCCTTACTTGGAGGGTCGGGGGACTTAGTAAGTAGGGCCTCCTTTAAAGGGGATTCTAAGGGTTCCTTTAAAGGGCTCTATAAGGGTAGTATAGGATTTAGGGTTTAGGGTTCAGGGACTTAGTAAGTAGGTAGTAAGTAGACTTATAAGTACCCTAAAAGGGACCCTGGTACTGATAAGTCCCTAAGATACTAAGTCCCCCGACGCTCCAAGTAATAAGGACCCCTATCCTATAACGGGCTATATAATAGGTATATAATAGCTGCATTAAGGGTATATAATAGCTGTATCATGGGTATATAATGGCTGTGTTAAGGGTATATAATAGCTGTATTAAGGGTATAGTATGGCTGCATAATGGGTATATAATAGCTGTATTAAGGGTATATCATAGCTGTAGAATGGGCTATATCATAGCTGTATTAAGGGCTATATCATAGCTGTATAATGGGTATATAATAGCTGTATATTAAGGGTATATACCTTGGGGTCCCTCCTGAGGTTCCCTCCTTTTCGTTTTGGAAGCTTCAAGACTCTGAACTTCGGGGTCATCTTACCTTTGGTTAGTAGGGAATGGAAGAATGGTAGTAGTAGTAGTAGTAGTAGTAGTAGTTATAATTGTGCCCCATTCCTCCATCCCCTAGTTCCCAAAGGTAAGTCATACGGGTTTTGGGGTTTGGGGTTTTAGGGTTTTAGGGTTTAGGGTTTCAGGGTTTTGGGGTTTCGGGTTTGGAAATAGTCATAGCAAGGAACTGCCACTGTAAAGGAAGAGTACTGATGTTTGCAAGCTTGTGCACCCTGTATCCGAAATAGTAGGATCTTTCTTATAAGGACCTCAAATAAAAGTACCCCCAACTTTCGGGAACCCTAAACCCTTATAGAGCCCTGTAAAGGAGCCCCTTAGAGTACCCTTATAGCGCATCATGTGGGGAGTGGGAGCTTTAGCGACTTTGGGCTCAAGACGATGAAGATGAGCAGGGGTGGGCTTCTTGTGCTCGCATTCAGGGTTTAGGGTTTAGGGTTTAGGGTTTTTTTTTTTGAGCCCCTTTTTCCACCAGCAATCCGTCTTGCTCGCCGAAGGCCACAGAGGCCAGGGGAGGTTCGCCATTACGAACCAGACGCGACAACCCAGTGCCCTTACCAGCACACAGGTCCCCGCGAAATCAGACCCTTCATCCCTCAGGGTTTAGGGTTTAGGGTTTAGGGTTTAGGGTTTCGGTTTCGCCGCTGAGGAGCATAGGTCCTTAGGATGGGTGTGCTTTGCTTCCACAAACCCTAAACCCTAAACCCTACAAACCCTTAACCCGTATAGTTAACCTTTCTAGTAATCTTAAAGGAGTCCTCATAATACCCTTAAACCTACATGGTCACTTCTGAGTTTTGGCAGACACCCTCACCGAGCGATTTCTGCTGAAGCTAGGTCTCGCATAGCCAGCGCCTTTCGGCGAGGAATCTTACGCCGCAACCGACACCAAGACTCCAAGACTAAGTGGGCAAACTCCGTCAAGTTAACTCTCGTTTTGGGTACCTGGCCCATGTGATTTTTGCTGTCGGTGAGGATCCTAAGCTTCCAAGAATCAGTGGGACAAAAACCTGCCGCTTAAACTCATGATAACGCTGCACCACAAAACCCAAATCCCATACCCTGAGCTCGAAATCCAACATCTGCGCATACAGTACCCTGGATCCCCCGTACGGAAAACCCTCATCTCATCCTCCGTGACTCCAATATCTCGTAAGTGGTACATGCACCTCAACTTGTACTGTAGTAATTATATTAGGGGTTCTGCAAAAGGAGCCTTGCGGTAAGGGGTAGCGAGTCTCGACACCTCAAGCTAAGTCAGCCAGGCAGCGCAATCTCCTGCTGAATGTGCAGCTCACGAGGGAGACCGATATGATACCCTTGCCACGTTTTGACTTGGGTTTTGTTCTAAACCCTTTATAAACCCCAAACCCCTAAAACCCTACACCCCAGTTTAAGGTTTGTCTTGGGGAGCGCGTGCCGTGTCTTTGCTTTGGGATCCGGGTCAGGGTCCAGAGCTCTGGCTGCTGCTTCTGTTTCTTAGGGGCCCCAAAAAGGACCCTAAGCATAAATTAGGATAGGGATCTCCCATATAAACGCCCTTATAATGTATAGGGATATCACATATAAACCCCCTTATAATGTATATGCTGTATAGGGATATCCCATATCAACCCCCTTTATGTGCTTTTTGGGGTCCCTGATTTTGGGGGCTTGCGGAAGTTCGAGTCCTGGAGAGTCTGGGCTCTGCTTTTCGCTTTGCAACCGAGTAGTCGACGTCCGAATCCTAAACCCTAAACCCTGAACCCTCCACCCTAAACCCTAAACCCTAAACCCTAAACCCTGAACCCCCTAAACCCTCCACGCCCTACACCTTAAAAATCAAGGCAGGGAGTTGGAGGTTGAGTTTTCCTGGTCGAAAAGGATTCAGGGGTTTAGGGTTTTAGGGGTTTAGGGATGTAGAGTCGGGATGGAGATTGGACAGATTTGAAGCGGAGGGCAGAGCTTGGTCTGACAGTTCTGACTTCAGCGTCTTGGAGCCGAAATCCGAGGATTGCAACACAGGGTTTAGGGTTTACGCTTTCGGGTTGAGGCCTTCCATAGAGAGATAGGAGCAGCCGGAGCCACAGCCGATCTTCAAGCCTGCTGCATCGTTCAGAGTTTAGGGCTTGGGGTTTAGGGCTTTGGCTTTAGGGCTTTGCTATACTGAACTTAGAACCATAATAACAAAAAATAAAAAAATATTTCTAAGTACCCCTAAGTTTGGGCCAGAGCTCAGCCCCGGGCCGAAGACTAAGAGTTCGACTGTAGGGCAGTGCTCTTAGAGTGTAGGGTCTCGAGATTAAAACTGACACTCGTTTCGGTGATTCACTGTAGGGGCCGTTTTTTTGGAGTAGGGTTTTTGAATTTAAAGTTTGTTTTAAATGGAGCCCTGTTGTTTCAAATAGGGTTTTGGGTACAGTACTGTCGACTCTGGAGCCTCGAGGAGAAGTTTTGGCAACTACTCAAGCTTCTACCTTAACCTACCAAAACCTACTTTTTTGGAGGGTCCCTATAAATTCCATATTAGGGTTTATAATAAGAACCTACAAAAAAGTAGGGTTTGGTAGATTAAGGTATACTGAACTTAGAACCCTGGCAAAAACCATGTTTTTAGCTGTTTCTTAGGGCTTAAAATAACCAAAACATAAAGAATACTTCTAAGTACCCCCAAGGCTTCTAGATGACCCCTAAGGCTTCTAGATGAGTGTTCAGGAGCTCGGGTTTACGGCTTCGGCGCCGGTTTTGGAAGTCCATACGGCACAGGTGTATACAGTCCAGAGTGTATAGGATTCCGGGTCAGCTTTAGGTTACCCTACACCCTAAACTCCAAACCCCTAAACCCTAAACCCTAAATCCTTAAAGCTCCTAAATCCTTAAAGCTCCTAGATTCCTACACCCATAAACCCCACAAGATTTGGAGGTATCCAGTTTTGGATTTCGCCTTCGGAATTGAGCTGGAAGCGCATAACGTTGCACCGCCGAGACTCCCCAGCCCCACCAAACGCAATAATTCCCAAGGAGAAAACCCTACAGTAAACCCCATGTCTCCACGCAGACCCTGGCGGCCTTTCGTGATAGTTACCTTCCATGATCCGACTTTTCACCTTCTACAAGGTACAGTAAATCCCATACAGTTGGAAACCGGGTTAAGGCCAAATAGTGCTGGAATCCCATATCCATTAATTATTCTTAAGGATTGAGGCTATTGGTTCCAACTTTTGGGCTTCTACTGAAATTTCCAAGGTGGGAACCCTAAACCCCTCTCATTTGTGAGATACCGAAGCTTCCCGAGCTGGATCTCTAGGAAACTCCCGTACTAGCTGGCTCCACAGTAAACCTTTAATGCCACATGGTCACATGGAGCCCTGAATCTTTCCAAACCCTGCAATACTGTCCTGTAGCCCCTCCCTGTCTGCTCGGTGTGGGAATTGAGGGCGTAAGCCCCAAACCCTAACAGGAAATGGTTTGGGTGGTTGTCTGTGGTATCATCACAGCGGGCGGGTTTAAGAGAGCTTCCGGTTTCACCGAGTTCTATGACACATGCAAGGAAGGTCGCTTGACGCGCAATATGCCGCCACCCACAAACCCTGGCGTGAGGTGGCGCCATCCTAGCATGGATTACCAGCCACTGCGCAAACAGACACCCTGAAAACTAAACCCTCAACCCCCAGCCCTAAACCCTAAACCCTAAAACCCTAAACCCTAAAACCCTCAACCCTAAAACCCTCAACCCTCAACCCTAAACCCGACAACTCAAAATCAGCATACGCAAGGCCCACAGAGCCCGAAGGCCTTGACGCACGAAGCGCAGGGGAGCCTTCCTGCGGGCTTAAGGTTTTGGGGTTTTGGGGTTTGGGGCTTAGGGTTTGGGATTTAGGGTTTGGGGTTCAGGGTTTAGGGTTTAGAGTGAAGCTTGTCCACAGTTTAGGGTGGAGTGTTTACTTAAGGTTTGGAGGCTTGGGTTTGGTTTGGGTTAAGGGGTTTCAAGCTTTTGAACGGTGGGCCTGCAAAAACGGGGCTGTTCAGGGCACACATTCAACCCGAAAGCCTGAACCCGAAACACCCGACCCTGAACGTTGTGTTTCTGGCTTAGACTTTTGATTCCTTAGCGGTTTAGGGTTTAGGGGTTTAGGGTTAGGGATTATACGGAGCTATGATAAGTCACTGGGGCCTAGTCAACTAATGCACTGCGGATGGACTGTTTGGGGGTTGCGGATTGCGGGGGAATTGGAAATGCGGGTTGATGATGACATAACCGGACAGACGGCAGCTGGCCCCAGCACCTCACGGCACGCCAACCCCAATATTCTCGTGATGTCTACGAGCCCACCAGCCGTGCAAACAAAACCCAAGCCTCAAATGCGAACAAAAACCTCGATTACTACCCGAGAAACCCTGAACCCTAAAGCCTAAACCAAAACCCGAAACCAAAACCCAAAACCCTAAACCCTAAACCAAAAGCCCAAAGGAATAAGATGGACACGTAGGCTCATCTTGAAGCCGGGCCACTTCACAGTGCCTAAGGCGAGGACATACCTGGACCAGCTGCTTTGGCGATTCAGGGTTTAGGGGTTTAGGGGTTTAGGGGTTTAGGGGTTTAGGGGTTTAGGGGTTTAGGGGTTAGGGTTTAGGGTTTAGGGTTTAGGGGTTTAGGGTTTTTTTTTAAGTGTAGTGACTCTTTCTGCTCTGCAAACAAGTCGAGCCTGCCACGTATGGCTTACACTACAAAGAAAAACGCCTCACTCACTGCTTGCCCTCGGACTCACATCGTATCCTCAGACTCATTCAGTTTTGGACATCATCATCGGCATCATCACTATCAGCTCGGTGGTGGTCACTGTAGTGAGTTCGTGGCCGTCCGACTGTTCGGTAGCAAGTGTCGAGGAAGGTGCGCTGGCCATTGCCGTCATCGAATCTTCTTCACCTGCACATTCTTCACCTTGTGGTTCCCGCCAAATCCCCATCAGCTCTGTAGGAGCCAGACCGCCGCTGGAGACCATTGTACTGGCCGGCCTATTGACTGGAGTGGGCGGTGGTGGACCGAAGGGGCCATCGGTCGGCGAGCGCGGAGGGACAGGAACATATTCACCATCCGAGTTGTAGGCCCACTCGCTGTCCATCGTGGGGCAGTGAATCGAGGTTCCCGTAGGGCTTCTTGAGCGAGTGCGCCTAGCCCTCCGTCTTTCTGCCCGGCGCCGCGTACCAAGTGACAAATCAGCAACTCTGAAGGACCTGAAGGGAAAGAATAGTCCGAAGCGTGCATCCAGTTGTTGAGCACATTCGAAAGCTTGGCCTTCGGAGCCGAGTAAAGGGTCAAGGATGTCACGTTCAGACCACGATAAATCTTGCTGCCACACATCGAAAAGTTGTTCATGCGGAGCACTTTGGCTTTTTGAAGAAAAGTCGTAGAGTGCTGGCCAATTAGCGCAACAACTTCGTCAGTGGCTCCCACAAGTAGGAGGTTGAAGAGATCGTCGTCCACGGAAAAGATGCACTCACCGTTGGAGGCGGGATTGATGGCTGCGGCGTAACTCACCAGAAGCTGAGTCACGCGCTCATTGCTGACCTCCGAAGCCTCATCTCGTGGGGCTGACAGCTTGGTCCAGAAGTGATAGACAATGTCTTGTGGAACAAGCTCTTGAGAAAGGTGGCGCATAAGCTGCCCAAAAGTGAAGCAAGCTTTAAGCTTCTGAACGTAGCGGAAATCAGCAGCGTTCGAAGAGCGGACTTCGTCAGGCGCAGTTGGGCTTGGAGCCGGATCGGGCGACACTTTCTCCCGAGGTTGAGAAACGTCCGGATGATCGACTTTTGGTGAATGAGAAGAAGACTGGATGTAAGCCAATCCCGCACCAAAGCCCAAAAGAAGCAAGGCGCCAAAGGAGAGAAAACTGAAAATTAAAGAACCAGTGGTTGACGAAGAATGGAAGCGGGATGGTAAATCTTCATCAAACACAAGAGGAACTTCGGGAGTTGAAGCTGTTGCGCCAACTACAGTTGGCGTGGTCAAAGAAACTCCAGTCTGCAGTAATTCTCCTTGAGCGGAAAGTGAAGCAGCAGGAGGGGCGGAAGTGGCCTGTCCAATGACATCCACGAAAAGAGTGTGTTGGGGCACAGTAGAGGCAAACACCGGGGCCACGGTGGTGGTCGCATGGTAAATAACAGTAGGCTGGACCATCAACTCGGGAGGTTTTTGAGCGCCAGAAGGAAGCATTGCTTGCGGAGTGGTAGTGGCAGCGTGATCAATGATCGTAGGGTGCACAAGCAAGTCAGGCGCCTCCACTGAAAAATAAGAAGAAGATGGTGAATCTTGAAGTGCCGGTATGAGTAAATCATTTGGAAAAGATGAAACCTCTGCGGGAAAGGAAGCCACAGGTTCAGCTACGGCGACCGCATCAAGTGCAGGCAAGACAATAATTGAGGATCCCAAATCGCCTGAGAAGTCGCTACGCTCAAAAGATGGCTGCGGAACAGTCAAGGCGAGGTGCTCAACCAAGGCTGTCGAAGTAATCCCAGTTGCGGCTTGTTGTACCACTTGAGGTAGTCCTGAACCGGTGCAAGGCTCACCAGCAACATTGGCGTGATGAAGCTGGAGAATGTCCACAAATTCACGGAGGAGAGCCACAAGAGTACGGTAGCAGGCTGATGGTTGAGTTGGCCTGCGTGAACGCACAGCCGGCGAAAGGAATGCAGGTGGGATATTCTGCAAAGCTGGGCAGGAAGCCTCGAGTACAGCCCGAAAGGCACTGTCAGATCCGCCCTTATCTGGATGAGTCATGAGGAGGGCATCGGACAGTTGGTTCAACGTGCTGGCCGCGTCACAAGCACAAACAATGCTGTCCGATGAGAGTACAGTATCGAAGTTGAAAAAGGGGACAGCACCCCTGAGGTCATCGGCCATGATCGAGCGGAAGTATATGGCGATGATCTCGGCAGGGATGGTTGGACAACCAGGCTGACTCGGACCCGCATTGGGCTCAGTTGCACCACCAACCTGAACCAAAAGCAACAGTAACGAGCGGAGCAGCATGACGACAGTCATGGGTCGCAAGTTAGGATGAGCTTAGGTAGCCTGGAGGGTACACCAAAGTCAACAGGGCGCTTGAGCCAAAATGGCTACGGTTTAGGGTTTAGGGTTTAGGGTTTAGGGGTTTAGGGGTTTAGGGTGTAGGGTTTCGGGGTTTAGGGTTTAGGGTTTAGGCTTTGGAGGTCTAAAGAAGATCCTTATAGGGTTCTTTAAAGGGTTCTGCAAGGGATCTATAAGGGTTCTATGGTATAGGGGCCTTAATGATTAGACTGGTGTTTGGGGCCCATTATACTGCAATTATGATAAGGAACCACCAAAAATAGTATAGGTAATTATTAAGGCCCCTACAGTAAAAGCCCAAAAGTTGGAAACCGCATAGCCTCAATCCTTAAGAGTAATATGTAGGGATCCCAACACTCTTTGGCCTTAACCCGATTTCCAACTTTATGGGATTCACTCTGTGTATAGTGTATATATACATATATATATATATATGTATATATATATATATTACTTACTAGAAGGTGAAGAGTCGGATCATAAAGAGTAACTATCACGAAAGGCCGCCAGGGTCTGAATGGAGACGTCAGCACAAAGACTTCGTGAACCCTCTTGTCGGGTTTAGGGTTCAGGGTTTAGGGTTTAGGGTTTAGGGGTTTAGGGGTTTAGGGTTTAGGGGTTTAGGGGTTTAGGGTTCAGGGTTTAGGGTTAAGGTTTAGGCTTCGTGAACCCTCTTGATCTTGCCACGGGACAGGTGGTTCTGCTTGACGAAAATCCGTGGGAATTGCAGTGACTCACAACCGTGCAGGTTCCTGCACTTGCTCTTGGGAAGCATCGTAGAGAAAGCCAGCTCTCCCGTCCGTTTGAAGATCTTCACCTTGATCTCCCCCGATTTCAGCAGTGCAGCGCGAAAGAGGTGGTTTCCGTGCGCAAAGACCCGGGCAGGAGAATTCTGCGCCTCGATGAACGTCACATTGCCTGCACTGTGTCCCGGAAGTAGGTAAGGATGCGGTGAATGTGCATATGCCAGCTGACACGTACTCTCCAACACAGCCCCGGGACGCAAATCAGGAGATTCAAAAGTCACAGAAGTCACCACTGCCACAACCTGAGTTGTCCTTTAAGCACTTAGAAACCTATTTACTATTATGGTTCTCTACGAAATAGTAGGGAAAATTTAAAATTCCAAAAGGACAACCCAGCAACATGCTCCATGAAGAGGGTTGCATGATCAGTGCAAAGTCCCGGTGTAGTGAAGCGGCTGTTGGGAATTAGATGGACATGTGGCACCCGCCCACAAGCACTCCGCACCGTCTTCTCCGCATACAACAAAGAAGAGCTCATCTGGGTGAAGCGCCGATATGACAGGAGGTACTGCCCTGACTTGCACTTCGGGGATAGGCCCAGGATCGCATCTGTCTCTTCTGTCTCCTCTCATGACGGTATGGTCTAGTGCTTGGGGTTTAGGGGCACCCCGGAGCCAAGTCATGCTAGCCCTGCCAAGACAGTATCTTAACAAGAATGCCCAACTACGGACTTCACAGGCCAATGCACAGACCCACAGGCCAAACAACTTTAAACTCTACACCCCCAACGTCCCAAAGCAGTCCGCCGTGAAGAAGAAGTAGACCATGGCATCACCCGTCGTCAGGGGAGCAGGCAGAGGCACGGCGTAGCCGGCGTAGCCCTTGAGAGAGGGGTGTCCGTGCCAAAGGCTGCTTGGCTTGTTAAGAACTCAGGCGCAAGCTTTGAATATATGTATATGTATAAAGACCTACTTTCATATCTCGATATATATATATATATATATATATATATATATATATACATAGCGTATGTGCATCTGCGTTTTTTATGAGTATGTGCATTCGTGTTTACATCTGCATCTCTGAACATTATATCGGTACTTATGTCGGTAGTATGTTTGTGTGTATACCTGCTTGATTGCTTGTTTAGACGTTTATAGTATTTTAGTCACCTGTCGACTTGTGTATTTACATATTGCTCTCTGTCTTTACGGAAATACACCCGCACAAACATGTCTACATGCTGTCTATTTGTCTGTGTGTATGCATGTATGTCCGCCTGTCAGGTCTGTATCTATGTGTGTGTATATATGTACGGATGGACGGATGGATGGATGGGATGCAATGCGATGCAATGCGATGCAATGCGATGCAATGCGATGCAATGCGATGCAATGCGATGCAATGCGATGTGTGCATGTGTGTGTGTGTGTATGCATGTCGGTATGAAAGCAGGTAAATGTAATGCAACGTAGTGTAGTGTCATGCAATGCAATTTGAGGTAAGATGCACCATGTATGTATGCATACGAACATCAGAAAGCGAGAGATGTGGGAGTCTCAAAAGATACGGGATCCTGTTATAAGACCGTGACTTGAAAAGGATCCTGATCACAGGGCCCCACACCACTAGCCCGAAACTACCACTACGAGAAACCCTATGTAGGGTTTAGGGTGTAGGGCCCAGCGCAGGGTTTAGGATGTGCCAGGCCCCGAAAACTGAAGATTCTCAGTCCTGTCCGGGGATCTTCGTCTGAGGTAGACAGTAAAGTCTCCGCACGAACACACAAAGCAACATGAACATCAAAACAGCTCAACCCTACCCATCCACCCACCCACGCCCACCACCAAACAGAAACAGCAACTGCGTAATACAAGGGCCTTAATAATTAGAATAGAGTTTGGGGGCCCAGTATACTATAAACATAACAAGCAACCCCCGAAATAGTATCGGTAATTATTTCGGCCCCAATATTACCAGGGCGGCCTTCTTGCTCTGAAGGGGCAGCAACGCACCTCAGCTGCCCCAGCAATTTCGGTGAAAGTAACTAGCACGGCGCCTTTCTTACCTTTGGTTAGTAGGGAATGGAGGAATGGTGTACAATTAGAACTATTATTACTACCATTCTTCCATTCCCTACCAACCAAAGGTAAGCTTTATGAAGCGGACGCTAAAAGAGACCCTAGTTAAGAGAACCACCCGTATAGACGTAGACGGTTTTGGGCTTAGGTTTTGGCGTTGGGCCTTGGGCCTTTTTTGCTTAGGGAGAAAGGCTCAGAGGTCTCAGGCGTTGGGGTTTTGGATTGGGTGTTTGCCTAAGCCCAAAACCCTGAACCCTACACTCATACTGTTGGTGATATAAATCCTGAATTAACCTAAAAAACCATAACCACTATGGGACTTATGGTATATTCCTCATTCTGGGTAATGCAAGATTTATATCATCAAACGTACCCGTAATACAGTGCAGAGCTTCGATCAGGGGCCTTTATAAATAGATTCCGGCTTTGGGGCCCGTTCTACTATACTTAGATCATAAGGAGCCCTCTTAATAGTATAGGTAATTATGTAGGCCCCTCCTTGCAAGACTCGCGTCATATTCCTAAAATCCAGAATCGTAAAGCGCTGTAAACGTCCTAAACCTAAAGCCTCATCTAGCCCCCCTAAGGAGCCCGCATGAAACTCCACGGAACGCCAAAAACAGCCTTAACCCTTTCTTAACCCCTCAGAAACCCTGTTAAAGACCCAAACCCCAAAACCCCAAAACCCCTCTAAACCCTAAACCTTGAACCCCGCCCTCGTACATTCTGGTTTCGTGCGTTTTGAAATGCGCGCCTTACTTTCCAACAGGAACTGCCATGTAAGGAGCAAGTTCCAGGCCTGCAGTGCACGGTCTCTGCAGTTTTTGGCATAAGCCATTTTTCCGGAACTTTGGACGGATTGGATTTGGAATCATGCATTCTGGTTTCGCGCGTTTTGAGTTGCGTGTCCAAGCCTGCAGGCACGGTATGTGCAGTTTTTGGCATAAGCCATTTTTTCGAACTTTGGACGGCTTGGTTTTGCCCTCGTACATTCTGGTTTCGTGCGTTTTGAGTTGTGTGCCTTAGTTTCCAATAGGAACTGCTATGCACGGAGCAAGTTCCATGCCTGCAGGCACGGTATGTGCAGGTTTTGGCATAAGACATTTTTTCGAACTTTGGACGGCTTGGATTTGGAATCATGCATTCTGGTTTTGGGCGTTTCGAGATCTGCGTCTTACTTTCCAATAGGAACTGCTATGCCAAAAAGAAGTTCCAGGCCTGCAGTGCACAGTATGTGCAGTTTTCGGCATAAGCCATTTTTTCGAACTTTGGACGGCTTGGAGTTGCGCTCGCATGGTCCGGTTTCGTGTGTTTTGACGGCTTTCAAATGGAAAGTGTCAAAACATGACTGTCACAAGTGACACATAGCCCGTCCCCTGCGTAAGAATAACACAACACAACATGGCCCCTGCACAACGTGACACGCACTCGCGCTAACACTCATGCTCTTCGGCCTTCAAGCGCAACGCAACACGCAAACATGAACAAATGTTCACTCGAACGGTTGCTTCGGACGCTGTGTATTCTCAAGCTTGCACAGGCCACTTTACGACGGAGCCATCTCCAAGAATGGCGGCACTTGAAAGTTTCTGCATACAGCGACTCGCACAGCACTACTGTCACCTGCAGGCGCAAGTTAACAACGGAGCCATCTCCAAGAATGGCGGCAACTGAAAGTTTCTGCATCTAACAACTCGCACAGCACTACTGTCACCTGCAGGCGCAAGTTAACAACGGAGCCTTCTCCAAGAATGGAGGCAGCGGAAGGTTTTTGCATCTAACAACTCGCACAGCACGACTGTCACCTGCAGGCGCAAGCTAGGACAGAGCCATCTCCAAGAATGCGGCAGTTTTCAGGAAGAACTCGCACAGCACTACTGTCACCCCCCGCGCGCAGGTTACGACGGAGCCATCTCCAAGAATGGCAGCTGGAACCTGACACACGGCTGGCAACAGGTCGCCATCCCCAAACACGGCGGGCAGTCTGAGCACTCTGCATTCGGGGCTTGGAGGGAGATGACATGAAAACCTGCACGGCACTGCTGTCACCATGTTCGCGACGGAGCCGGCTCAGCACTGCCTTTACACAGCGGGCCTCGGGTGCTGGAATCTAATGGCACATCCGAACCTGGAACTCACAGCAGAGCTCTGCGACAAAATGCTTGCTGTTGGAGAGAACTTGAGGTCGCGACCGATTTGCTGAGAATGGCAGCAAAAGGCTACAAAGAGAGTTTGGATCTGCTGCACGCAAACATGTCCGCTTCTCTGCTCTCCTCAGAACTCGAGATCACGACCGCTTTGCTGAGAATGGCAGCACAAACAAAGCTTGGATCTGCTGCACGTGATCATGCAACACGAAAGCTTCTTCAAGCCAACATGTCCGCTCCTCCCACATATCAAGCCCCCAAACGTGAGTTTTCGAAGTCCGAAACAAAAACATTGCCACGAAACAGAGCAGTTTACTGACGTTCCATGCTTCACGTTGCTGGAAACTCAGATTGTTGCTGCTTTGTTTTTGACGTACAACATGCACAACGGCCTCGGTGACAGCGGCTGCCGCGCTCGGTCCACGCGGAATAACCAAGCAATTGCCGCGAGCCAATGCGGTGAAAGACTTTGCTTGTTGCTGCCAAACCTCTAAAACCTAAACCCCAAACCCTGAACCCCAAATCCCAAACCCTAAACCCTTACAGCCTAAACCCTAAACCCTAAGCGGGGGCTGTGGGGGCCGTCAGGGCTGGGTTCTGGCGTTTTGGGGCTTAGGGGCTTTGGGGCTTAGGGCTTATAGGGTTTAGGGGTTTAGGGCTGATAGGGTTTAGGGTGTAGGGGTTTAGGGCCTATCGGGTTCAGGGTGTAGGGGTTTAGGGCTTATAGGGTTTAGGGTTTACGGGTTCAGGGCTTATAGGGCTTAGGGCTTACAGGGTTTAGGGTTTATGGTTTTAGGGGTTTTGGGGCTTAGGGGCTTTGTGGCTTTGGGGCCTAGGATATATGTTGTTCACGCTTTAGGATCTGAGGCTCAGGTTCTGGGGTGTACGGTTTGAGATCGAAGGTTTCTAGTCGATTGTCGGGAGAGCAATTGAAATTCAAATTTCTATTCCTTCTTGGGTTTAAGTACCCATAAAACTCTGAAGCGTTGCCCAGCTATGACGAAAGGTTAGGGTTTAGGCTGAGAGGCTTAGTTTGGGTTTACACAGGGGAGCGTGTAGCAGCCGAACCCCTGCACCACCTACATTAGTACAATCCTTTCGGGGGTCGAAGAGGTTACAGGAAGTCGAAGGCTTCTTACATCGTCAACCCTGACTTCCTTCCCAAGGGGCAAGCAGCCAGGTACTCGAATTCGTAGTTGTCCTAGGATTGTGGTGGAAAGCAAACGTCTGGGTCCGCTGTTGGAAGAAAACATACCGAAACAGGGCATGCTTGTAATATCCTTAAGGGAGGGGGGTCCAAGGGGGGTATATAGCCTAGTGATCCCTAATTCTCCTTAGTACTCCCTATGGTTCCCTTACAGTCCCCTAAGGATTCCTTATACCCTCCCCCCTTGAACCACCCTCCCTTAAGTTGGCGGTGGGCTTGGGCTGAGAGTGAGTGAGGGTTTACGCGTAAGAGTTGATGCAACTTGGAGGTTCATGGGTAGTTATAAGTGGGGTTATAAGTCCCCTGATATAGGTTATAACCATAGCTACCCTACTTATAACCCTACTTCTAACTACCAAACCCTAAACCCTAAACCCTAAACCTCCCAGAACGCTTCTCCTCGTTGGCAAGCTCGCTGCAGCCCTGCCGAAAGGAAGAGGCTTCTGGCGGCTCTAGGATTGCAGGGCCCAGGACCTGGGTCCTTACTGTGCATCCTAAACTAGGGGGCCTTGATAACTAGAATAGGGTTTTGGGGCTTCCTTCTTCTAAGTTATATTGGGCCCCAAAACCCTATTCCAGTTTTTGAGGGCCCTATATTAGTGTTTCGGGGCTTTGTTTCACCAGGCTAGATCAGGAGTGCTGTCGGAATAGCAAATATGACGGATCATGATGATACTACACCCATCCTGCCTATTTGCATGGAGTCAGGACCATGCTGCGGGTATATCAAGAAGCTGGATGGTTTTGCTTGTTTGTTGTCCATCATGTCATGCAGATTTTGAGCATACCAATGGCAGGATCTCTTCTCACTCTGCAACCGAAAACAGTCTGCAGCTTCACACCGGGAAGAACACTCCAACATCCATGGTCCGAAATCGAAGCGTGAGATCATCCGGAGACGTCAACTGCCTTCATTGCACGTCCACTTTGCTCCGAAGCTCTCAGTAAAGTTTTGGGCTTTGGGGCTTAGAAGGGCATAGGTTAAGGGTTTGGGGATTGGGCCTTCTTTGTTGTGGCAGGGAAACCTTGAAACCCGGATCGGCTGCCTCCCTCAACGTACTCTGCTTCGAATCCATCAGCAAGGGGCTCTTGAAGAGCTCGTGCAAGTGCTGCAGACCCCCTGGCGGTTCAACCGTGTGGCATCCACATCAGCTGCTGTCGATGCAGGGGCCATATTCTGATCCTTACATAGATCCCGAGGCCGTGAAGCCAGGTTATCAGGCTGCTGTACTGAGAAGAAGCTGGCAAGAATTTATGTGTTTAGGCCCTGTGCAGCGGCGAGGTGTACTCCCAGCCACGACGAAAGGGCAATACTCAGAACAGCACATCCGTCGAAAGTGTACGTGACGATGTGCCGGGGTATCGGCATTTTATGAACTGGCGAAGGCGAAGGAGTGCAGGCAAGTGCCGACTGCTGAGGAGGAACTATGAAGACAAATTCGGCTAGCAATGGAAAGGAAGACAAATTCGGCCAGCAATGGAAAGGTTAAAGGCAATAGAAAGGTCAATCGATAGGCTCCTATCTGTCCGGGCCCTGCAGTAACTATTCCAATGGTCCCTGCATTGTGACTCCGAACCCCTTGAATCGTAGAGCCTACCCGCTCTACCCTGCACCACTTGCACCCGACCTCGTCCTGGCTCCGAAACCTCAAGGGGTCGAAGGAGCATTCTTTCAGTTCGTGCCTCAAACCCACGCCTCTAGGCACCCATTCATTTATCCATAAACCCATTCATTCATCCACCTATCAGTTCATCCTTCCTTCCCTCCTTCCATCTGCCCATGCTTCCTTCCTTCCATCCACGCATCCATCCGTTCATTCACACTTCTTCCTTCATGGCTGCTGGTAGTGTCGCTGCTGTTCGTCCTCAGCTTAAAGCTCGCCTTATTGAGATCGAAAATTTTGCATTGGCTTAGGGCTGAGGGTTTAGGGTTTATGGTTTAGTCGGTTATCGCAAGTATTGAAACACCGCAGTGCACGACTGCTATTTACTAACTTCTAAAACGTGACGCTCGTTTCAGCGATAAATGCCTTCATTCGTATCGCGATCAAGGTTGCGACACCTGTTAGGTCCTCTTTGTGTGAACCGGCACCGCACCCTGCATCCTAAACCGATCATAACCAGCTTCAGGCTCACTTCCATTACTGGCCTTAGGATTACCACCAAGACCCTTGTCAAATCCCGGGGCGCCCCGGAGTCTAACCGATCACAGTATATTGAAAAGGGTCCTGGGCGGTGTCTTGTAGTATAACTCTGATCGGGAAAACCTACCGAACCAGAAAGGAGATTAATGTAGGGGCCTTTATAATTAGAACAAGGATTCGGGGCCCATTATTCTATAACTATCATAAGGAATTCCCAACATAGTGTAGGTAAGTTATCAGGCCCTTAACGTATTCAGGCTCCCCCTGAACCCTAAACCACTAAATCCTAAACATTGAGAACATGAGGCTTCACTCCAAGGCCTTCTCAACCCGAAGCCCTGAACCGAAAATTTAGTAGTTCGTCGTTAGTAGGTATTAGTTAGTAGTTAGCAATTCGTAGCTGGTAATATGTAGCTAGTAGCTAGTAGTCCGTGCTAGTGGTAGCAGTCGTCGTCGCAGTCGGCAGTAGTTGCCGTCGTAGTAGTAGAAGTAGCAGAGGTAGTGGAAGTAGTAGAAGTAGCAGGCGGAGTCTAAGTAGTAGAAGTAGTGGAAGTAGTACACGTAATAGAAATAGTAATAGAAATAGTAGTAGAAGTAGCAGTAGAAGTAGTAGTAAACGTAGAAGAGGTAGTAGTAGAAGTAGCAGTAGAGGCAGTAGAAGCAGTAGAAGTAGTAGTAAACGCAGTACTAGAAGTATTAGTAGCAGTAGTAGCAGTAGTAGAAGTAGTGGCAGTAGTAGAAGTAGTAGAAGTAATAGTAGAAGTGATAGCAGTCGTAGAAGTAGAAGTAGATGTAGAAGTAGACGTAGAAGTAGAAGTAGAAGTGGCAGTAGAAGTAGAAGCAGAAGTAGAAGTAGAAGTAAGTAGAAGTCGAAGTGGAAGTGGAAGCGGAAGTGGAAGTCGAAGTGAAGCGGAAGTGGAAGTAGCAGTAGGAGTGGAAGTGGAAGTGGCAGCGGAAGTGGAAGTGGAAGTGGAAGTAGAAGAAGCAGTAGAAGTAGAAGTAGAAGTACGAGTAGACGCGGAAGTGGAAGTGGAAGTCGAAGTAGAAGTAGAAGTCGAGGTTGAAGTGGAAGTAGAAGTAGAAGGAGAAGAAGTGCAAGTCGAAGTGAAGTCGAAGTGGGAGTGGGAGGTGGAAGTAAAAGTAGAAGTAGGACGAGGAGGAGGATTACTGTTCTGCTGTCATTCTGTAGTATTGCCCTAAACCCCAAAAGCCCTAAACCCCCAAAACCCTAAACCCCCAAAAACCCTAAACCCCCAAAACCCTAAACCCAAAACCCTAAACCCCCAAGACCCTGAACCGAAAAAACCCAAAAGCCCTAAGCCCCCAAAACCCTAAACCCCCAAAACCCTGAAGCCCGATAAACCCAAAAGCCCTTTTGACGAGCTGCCAGGCTCATCAGCAGAAGATCTGGTAGTAGGAGGTTGGCCATGCGGTGAGCTTTGCTCGACAGAGCCTGCTGCTGCCGCCGGGTTGGGCTTAGGGGTTTAGGGTTTAGGGTTTAGGGGTTTAGGGTTTAGGGTTTAGGGCCAACGGCTTTGAATTTCCAGCATCTCAAAGACTAGGGACTTGAGCGGTTTAGGGAGTTGAAGGTTGAGGAGCTTGAAGTGTGGAAATTCTCGGTGCATAGAACCCTGAGGCCTGTTAAACCCTAACTGAAGCCCAAAAAAACACCTTAATCATGCAAGGGACTGCAAGACTTGGATGACCTTGGCAGCCCCAAAACAGCCAAAATGCACAAATTTGCGGTCTGGTGTTAGAGTTTAAGGTTAAAACCCTAAACCCCAAAACCCTCAACCCTTGAAGGGTGCCCAGTTCTACGAAGCAAGGCGTCCTGCTGGGCACTTGCTGCCAGCGAAGCGTGCCCTCTTTTAACTTCGCCTTTAATTACCGTTGAGAGTTTAGGGTTTAGGGTTTAGGGTGGTTTAGGTCCCTTAAACTGTTCCTAAGCTTTTCTCCTGCAGGTTTTATCCGGCTTCAAGCCCTCTGCTGCACGCGCAAATCTATTTTTTTGTAGTTGGGAGTTTCCGAAAATAGGGGATCCCAGGATAGTACCCTAAATAGTAGGATCCGTATTATAAAGACCCCAAAATGAGGTACCCCTAATTTTCGGAAACCCCCCGTTGGTGGTTCCTGGGCTCTGGTCCGGTCCCGGACTGCTCCTGGGAGCCACTCCAGAAGCTTCTCCTGACAACATCATTTCTGTGGTTGTCAAAATTAGGGTCCCTTTTTGCGTACCTGAGATATTTGGTGCCGTATTATATTGGGACCCCAAAAGGGACCCTAATTTTGACACACCGTTCATTTGAAGCCACTCTTGCATGCGTTTCAGCTTCGCAGGACGCTTTTCAAGCTTATCCTATCATATTTTGGAGTTGGGTTTGTTGGTCCTTTTGGGCTTTCCAGGCCCCCGGATTTGCATGCTTTAGCACTTTTGGCCCTTTCCAGGCCGCTCAAATTCGGGTTCGTTGGCGTCGTTAGGTTCTTCGTGGCCATTCCAGGCCTTCCAAAGTTGGGTGTTTTGCCCGTTTTGTGCCTTTCCAGACCCCCTCCCCAATTTGGGCGTGTTGACCCGTTTGTGTTTTTGGGCCGCTTCCACATCGGGTGGTGCGTTTGCAACTGTTTGTCCCTCGACGACCCCTCCGAATTCTCGATTTCTCGACAAAGTCCTCAAATTTGGGGAGTATTTGCCATGTCAGGCCTTTGCAACCGCCCTCCTTCCGCGAACGTTCTGTAAGGTTGGTCTTGTTGGCGCTTAGGATGCTTGGACGCTTGGAGCGGCATAGTTCCAGGCACCTCCCAAGTTTCGGAGTGTTGGCAGTTTTGCGCCAAATAAACCCTAAACCCTATAACCCTATACCCTAAAACCTAAACCCTAAACCTTATACCCTGAAACATTAAACCTTCCTAGTTGAGGAATGGCAGTCATGTTGGGACCTCCACAGCCCGTGGTTATTTCGGAACTGGCACCCGCACCCCCAACAAATTTGCAAAGTTTCGTGATTCTTGGCAACTTCCACCCTAAACCCTGAACCCGAAACCCTGAACCCTAGACCCTAAACCCTAAACCCTAAACCCTAAACCCTAAACCCTAAACCCTAAACCCTACAGAACCAGGTATGCCGGCAAGACTTCAGGATTCACGCATTTGCAGAAGTGCCTCGCTATCTGTAATAAGGGACCTCAATAATTAGAACAGGGTTTAGGGTTTAGGGTTTAGGGTTTAGGGTTTACCTCAATAATTAGAACAAGGTTTTGGGGTCCATTATACGATTAACTATACTACGGAACCCCCGAAAGAGCATGGGTAATTGTTAAGGCCCCTATTAGTACCTTTCGAAGCAATTTACTCAAATCACCATCTGGATGAGATCTACCCATGTACATAAGCTGATGATTTGTTGTCGTTTGCTTTCCTTCAATACGGCCTGCCTTCTGCACCACAAACCACAAACTGCGCTGGCGGGCTTAGGCGCGAGCCTTCTAAAGCTTAGGGCTTCTACCTTAACCCTAAACCCTAAACCCTGAAGTTTAGGCTCAGACAGGGAGAAGGGCCAGTCAAGTTGAGGGCATCGAAATGCAAAACCCCGATACTTTCATGGTTTAGGGTTTAGGGTTGAAGCTTTAAGGTTTAGGGTTTAGGGGAGCCACTGCGGCTAAGCACAAATCCGCCAAGCCTTCAACCATTTAGCTGCGTGACAAATCCTGCACCTCTTTGCTCCAGGAAAGGTTGAAGGCATCAGCACTCTACGGTTGATGATATAAATCCTGCATTACCTTAAGGACCCTAACAATTAGTAAGGGAAATGCAGAATTTATATCATCAGCCGTATCAGTGTGTCACGCTTTCTCTGCGGTTCGGGGCTTGAGGCTCAGCATTCTGATTTTGTATCGAAATTTCCTGCCTCGCCTTGTGCATCTCGCCCGCTTGGCCAGTGTCCTGCACACACAACCAGAAAGAAGCCAGGGTTTAGGGTTATGGGTTTCGTCACAGCCAGCAGTTCAAGCCCTGGTTCTTAACCTTCTGTGGACCATCGAGCCAAGCAAGAACAGCTTACATAGACTCTTGAAAGCCAGTGGAAGCAAGCCAGAAGCATCGGAGGTCCCATGCAGCTGCAAAGTCACTAGAACAAAAGGCATGCCTTAGCCAATATCTGTAAATATATATATATATATATATATGTATATATGAACCTGGCGTTCTGCAAGTCGACGGTCAAGGACACTCCAGCATTTAAGAAGCCTGGCACCAGAATAAGAGTCCTCTGCTGATCGATACATGCGCGCCAAGACAAGCAAGTACCTGAGCTTCGCGGCATAGGGAAAAGCAACTGGGCTTAGCATTCAGGGTTTAGGGTTTAGGGTTTAGGGTTTAGGGTTTAGGGTTTAGGGTTTAGGGTTTAGGGTAGGATTACTACTCTCTATGAACCCAAACGGCCGGGAAAAGTCGGGTCGCATCTCAAGGTGCGTGCGCAACAGCTCGGCAAACTTCCCACGCTCGATCAGAGGCACCGACTCCTGAATTCTGCCCGGTTCAGGGTCTGAGGCGGTCTAGGTTTAAGAGTTTAGGGTTTAGGGGTTTAGGGGGGTTTAGTGTTCTTTTTTTTTTGAGCGCCTTTTTCCGCCTTGCAGTTAAGGTTAGCAGAATCCACTGTTGTGGGGGGTCTAGTGTTCAGGGTTTAGGGTTTAGGGTTTGCTTACTGCCTAGGGTCTGCACGGTTCAGGGTCTAGGGCTCTTGGCGACTATACCAGTAAGACAAGTGTCGCGCTTTGCATTTCAGGGTTTGAAGGAACTCCAGGGTTCAGGGCAGTTTAGGGTTTAGGGTTTAGGGTTTAGGGTTTAGGGTTTGGGGTTTGGGGTTTAGGGTTTAGGGTTTAGGGTTTAGGGATGGAGGCTGTAGCTGCAAGGACAACTAGCTACGATGGCAAACTTGATAGTAGAAGGAGCTTTGATGGTCAGTAAACTTATATCCCTGTATTACAACCTGTCAACACAACCCCAACCCCTGAGCCCTAAACCCCTAAACCATGAACCCCGAAACCCAAAACCCCTCTCTAAAGCCCATTAATATTAAAAACCCCAAGCCCCCAAACCCTGAACTGCCCTGAACCCTTAACCTCTCAGCTCGGATGTTTGTGCCGAACTTCCGTATAGTCTGTATGTAAGTACACCAGAAAAAACTCTCAAAACCCCACTATTCTATCAATCTAACCCTAACCCGAAACCCTAAACCGCAAAACCTACTTGGAGGTTCATGGGTAGCTATAAGCGGGGTTATAAGTCCCCCAATATAGGTTACAACCACAGCTATCCTACTTATAACCCTACTTATAACAACCCATGAACCTCCAACCCTGATAGAATCCCCATAGATCTCTTTAGATGGACCCTTGAAAAATCCCGTCAAGAAGCCGAAGGCCGCAGGATCTCTGCCGAAGTGGCGAGATCTGGGCTCACGGTTGAAGACTCTTCGGGCTCAGGGCACTGAGGCATGAAGCTTTAGGGTTCGGGGTTTAGGATTTCAAGTTTAGGGTTTAGGGGTTTAGGATTTCAAGTTTAGGGTCTAGGGGTTTAGGATTTCAAGTTTAGGGTTTAGGGGACGGTTCTGAGGATTGTTACCGCATCGGGCTTTGGGAACTCCGTAACCCCATTCACTTACCAAAAACCTTAAACGCCACCTCTGACCCGTAAGCACTAAGACTCAAGCTCTAAAACTACACACGCTGCAGCTCAACGGGTTTACGGCATGCAGGTGGCCGTCGACTTCCAGCGCAAGCAATATCGCGGTCGGTTCTTCGGGTCTCCATCTTCCAATGCTCCAGATTTCTCACACTAAACCACTAAAACCTAAACCCTGGAACCTGGGACTCGAAAGTTGAGGTATCGGAGCGACGGTGTGTGCAGGAAGTAGGGTTTGGGGCTCAGGGTTTCGGAGTACAAGCTTGAAATACTGACACTCTTGCATAACTCCGTCCTCCGTTGGATTGAGCCCCCCATGGTACGGCGTTCACGTGGCTCCGTTGCTTTTGCCATTGCCTTTCGGTCTCTTGTTTGATTTGCTGGTATTGCCCCGGAAAGTCCTTCTGCTGATGATAGAAATCCTGCATTACCTTAAGGGCCCTAAACTATGGGAATTATGGGATATTCCTTATTATGGGTCATGCAGGATTTATATCATCAACCGTTTTTTCGGGTAGGAGTGTGCAAAGCCCAGGCGTCTCTTGGGTTTCGGGGTACCAGCGAGACGAAGGTGAACGCTGAGTTTGGTCTCAAGCCGTGCATGTTACCATTCTTTGTGCAGAGCCTCATTAGTCTTCTGCTCTGCCTATGTACTCAGCGGCTAGGAGTTTAGGGTAAAGCTTTAAATCCTTGGCCCTAGTGGGTTCAGGGGCCCTCGCTGATAACGAGAAGAGCGAGCAAAACAATGCTCCTCACCTCCGTGTCCTCCTGCAGGAACTGACCCAGAAACCCTTGTAGAACCTTCTAAGACCTGTTTTGGGTCTATTTGTGAAGACTTGGTGGGTTTAGGGCCGAAGCTTACTCCTGACAAAAGTTGGAAACCCAATAGCCTCAATCCGTAAGAGTCATGTATAGGGAATCCCAGCACTATTTGTCCATAATCCGGCTTCCAAGTTTTTGGGGTTTACTATAAACCCCTGACCCCCAAACCCTAGACACTAAGCCCGACACCCCTGAACCGTAAACGGTTAAACGGCTACTATAGGGGCCTTCATCATTAGAATAGGGTTTTGGAGGCCCATCATACTATAGTTATAATAATGAACCCCCAAAATGGTTTAAGGGAACCCTAAAGTATACGTAATTATTTGTACTAGTACATGGCTAGAAGTCTATATTACGATCCTGTAGGGGTACCTCGTTCTGGGGTCCTTATAAGAAGGGTCCTACTATTTAATGTACTATATTAGGTCCCCGATTTTCGGAAACCCCATAAAACGATAGCCCCTGTAATACACCACCATGATACTCCTTATAGTAGCCCTAATAGGACTCTTTTGAAGAACCCTTTAAAGGAACTCTGTTCTTATTAGGTATCCCATATTACGATAGTCCCTGTCGGGGAAGCCCTGAGCCCAAAGTCAGGAGGCTCCGACTCTACAAGGAGAGCCTCCTGAGGGGCTTAGGGCTGAGGGTTTAGGGTCTAGGGTTGAGGGTTCAGGGTTTAGGGTTTAGGGTTTAGGGTTGAGGATTGAGGGTTTAGGGTTGAGGGTTTGGGGCTTAGGGTGTAGGGTTTAGGACTTAGGGTGTAGGGTTCAGGGTTGAGGGCGTATGACGACGATCCTTGAAGTCCGAAGTCTGAAGTGTAGCCTGATTCTCCCATCCGAAAGCCCTCTAGACGCAAGCCCCCACACTCAAGGGCTCAAAAAAACCTGGAAGCCTGAAAATCGCAACCTTAAATCCCAAGACCCCTAAACCCTAAAACCAGAAAGACCTCCCCTAACCCTAAGGGCTTGCCTCCTAAGACCCCTAAACCCTCAAACCCGGAAGACCTCACGCTTATAAGACTATAACCCCCCAACACGGTTTAGGGTTTGGGGTTTACGGTTTTAAGGTGTAGGGTTTAGGGCTTTGGCCGAGCCACCAAAAAATGCAAACCGCGGCCTAAAGCTTGAGGCCAACCAAGTCATGTGTACTTTGCACGGCAATCTGGATCGAACCCGCAACCCTAAACTCACGACCCTAAACCGAAAACCCTTAAACCCCAAAACCCCAGAATCCCAAAACCCTAAACCCTAAACCCCAAAACCCTAAACCCTAAACCGAAAACCCTTAAACCCCCAAACCCCAGAATCCCAAAACCCTAAACCCTGAAACCCCAAAACCCCAGAATCCCAAAACCTACATCCCAGCCCAAAGGCTGACAGTCTCGATCCCAAACACACACAATGCGACCAAAAGGACCCCACTTCGACTTCACCTTGACGTTGCTTGCCAAGGAACCCTACTGAATACGGCTGATGATATATATCCTGCATTACCCATAATAAGGAATATACCGCAATTCCTCTGGTTTAGGGTCCTTAAGGTAATGCAGGATGTATACCATCAACGGTCGTATTGGTAACTATCTGGACGTTCAACTAGAGTTCAGGACGTAAGGCACGGAGTTGAAGATTCAGCAAGACTCTAGGCCCTAAACCCCGAAACCTTCAACCCTTAACCCTAGTTTAGAGTTTGGAGTCTGCTGAGGTTTCGGCTGCAGGTTTGGGGTTTAGGGTCTAGGCTCCCTTCAGGGCTCACTTCAACCCCTGGACCAAAAACGCTCCACCCAACACAACACTTGCAGTATGCAACCGTTTGTTTTCAGCATGCTGCGGTATGTTCCAGCGCTAAGTACATTTGAGAATATTACAAAATATTATCAAATTATCACAGCCGACATACACTGCAGAATAAGTTGTGTCGTAGTATATTACGTACATAGCAGTCTGTTACCGCGAGTTAGAGTATATGTCTGCAGTATACTAAAGGGCATTATAGTGTGTGTCAATATCTGTCTATCCATCCATCTATCTATCTACGTATCTGTTTTGTATATAGTTGCTTATTTGTTTATGTGCATTTATATATATATATATATATATATATACATATACACGCACACGCCTTTTGTGCATGTACATATACATATACATCCATCTATCTATGTACCTGTATGTATATATTTTGCTATCTGTTATTATGTGCACATATGTGTATACATCTTTACATACACATATACATATACATACACATACACATACACATACACATACACATACACATACACATATACATATACATATACAAATACAAATACATATACATATACATATACATATACATATACATATACATATACATATGCATATGCATATGCATATACATATACATATACATATACATATACATATACATATACATATACATATACATATACATATACATATACATATACATATACATATACATATGCATATGCATATGCATATGCATATGCATATGCACACACATACACATATGAATATGCCTACACTTATACCCACACGTACACATACACATGCACATACGCATACAGAAAAACCTCTACACATGTGGTGCCGCGTCGCCTCGTCGCAGGCCCCCCCCACCCCCCATGGTATGACCCCCCCCCCCCCCCCCCGAAGCCAGGCGTCTCGTCCAATCAAACAGTCACACGTCATCCGCGTAACTCCCCCCCCAAGCCAGGCCTCGCCTCTCGCCTTGGCAATCGGGGGTGGGTGCGGGAGGGATAACCCACAATAGTGGAACCACAAGACGGCGAACCACAGGGGCGGGGTGGGGAAGGATAATCAACACAGGGAACCACCGGGCCCCTTCCCTTCCCCTCTCTTCGAGCACAAATGAGAATGTTGTGCGCAATGATGTTGATGTGCTAGTCCCAGTGTGGCTATTGGTGGTACCTTTGCTCTTATGTTGCTCTGGGCTTCGGCACCGCATGTTCATCGCTTTATCTAGTTGAAAACCGTGCTTGGCTTGTGATGTTCTTGCGAAAACCATATCGACCGTTGTCATTCCAAGCCAAGTTTCGGTTGGGTTCGCTACAAGTAAGCTTGAGCACGTATTTGAATGGTTTTCATTCGGGACTTTTGAGCAAGGGACCTGATGAGAGTGCGGATGGGGATCATGAGCACCATCTTCGTCATTGTCATCACCATCATATTCATCACTATCATTGGCTTTGGAGCTCAGGGCAGGTCGGAGTTCAATAGAACTGTATCACATCCTACGGTCCAAACCCTTAGCAACCGGACGCATAGCCATGGACGGGGGCGCAGCCGACCGCAACCACAGGGGGGAGGGGCAGGGGGGAACCCACACCACAGGGAACCACAGGGGGGAAGGGGGTGATACCATGGGGTGGGGGGGGGAGGGGGGGCCTAGCAGCGCTGCACCATATATATATATATATATATATATATATATATATGTACATGCGAGCATACATACACATATACATATGCGTATACGTATACATATACGCGTAAGTATACATATACATATACATATACATATACATCTACATCTACATCTACATCTACATCTACATCTACATCTACATCTACATCTACATATACATATACATATACATATACACATACATCCCTACACTCCAACCTTAGACCCGGAGCCAGCCTTGTTCGATGATGGCCCAACGGTTGAAGCTCGAAGCGCGGCTGAGCGTCCTTCCGGGTTTAGGGTTTAGGGTTTGTGGTTTAAGGTTCCGGGAGTAGTTCGGTGGGCACAAACAAAGCCCGGTGTCGCTCGTGTACGAAACGACGACGCAGGAAAAGGGAGAAGACGAAATACGAGACAATGACCGGTGATAGCGTATGATAGCCCTAGTAACAGTAGTATGTTTACCGGCATGACGCGCATAGAGACCAATTAACAGAAACGGCTGCGTGGCCAGCTGGTTGAGGCTGGGTGCGGCTGGGGGCCCTCCAGCAGCAACCACACCACGAAGCCTGAACCTTAGACCCTAAACCCTAAACCCACTATCAAGCCGAACCTTAAAATCAAATCAACCTCCCCACCCTCCCTTACGGAGCAAACCCCCTCCTGTACCTGAGACTTGCTGAAACCTTACAGGAAGACCTCCACCCCTAAACGCTAAGCCGTATACAAACCCTAAACCCCTAAACCCTTCAACCCTAAAAGCTTAGAGAAATTTGATGCAGAGGCACTGGACAAACTCCGCGAGATGTTGGTCTGCAGCTGCAGAGGAGGATGCCAAACTCTTGCTCCTGGCTGGGGGTGTGGCTGGAGGGCTGAACCTCGGCATCCCTAAACCCCCATGAAACCCTACACCCTACATGGGAGCTTCCGAAAATAATGGGCACCTTATTTGGGGGTCCTTATAATGAGGATCATACTATTTAGGGTACTACATTGGGGTCCCCTATTTTCGGAAACTCCCACATGAACCCCTGAACCCTACACTCCCAAACCCTACTGAAACCTGAAAAGCGGTACGGATTGTCGAATCCCTGAGCGTGCACGGATCTCACCACGGGCATGGGATCCGAGAACGACTTCAAATCCCACGGGCCTTGTAGGGATTTAGCTAACTTTGGGTTTAGATTCGGATTTCGGAGTGCAGTAAAGCCTGAAGCCTCGCTTAACTGCAAGGGGAGCCGTGCTGCAGACATTCTAGGACGAAGGATGGTAAAGGTAATTATTTAGGCCCCTAAGAGAGGGACTTTTATTTTGGGATTACCCCCTAAACCCTAAACCCTAAACCCTAAACCCTAAATCCTAAACCCTAAACCCTAAACCCTAAACCCTAAACCCTAAACCCTAAACCCTCCTACCTTCATCCCACCCTTAGAGGCCCTTTGATACAGGTAGCCCGGGCTTTATGCATCTTCTCAGGCTCCAGAGTCCATCCAGCAGGGACATGTCCTTGCGATATTCGGGTTTAGGCTTTAGGGCTTAGGCTTAGGCCCTAAGGCTTAGGGTTTAGGGCTCAGGTCTTAGGGTTTAGGGCTTCGGGTTTAGGGTTTAAGGTCTGGGGCCTAGGATTTCGGATGAGGACTTCATGTGGCTGGGTCGTAGTGAGTCCAACCCTTTTGTTTGGGAAGGGATCTTGGATGTGGGATTGCGGCCACCGCTTGGGAAGACGTAGCATTCTGGTTCTTCGAACGGCTCATGATATCCGTGGAAAACCTTGATCAAGGCTCGGTACTTACGTGCTTGACCCTACAAGCTGAAATACATGCTACAGCCTTTATCGCTCTTTACCAAAGCACCCCTGCCTGCGATCGCAGCTCCGAGAGTTTAGGGTTCGGAATTTGTTTCCAAGTGTGGATGGGTTCGGGTCGCAACAGTTGTGAAGCCACTAAGCCAACTCAGGCGACCAAAGTGTAATGCAGAGACCTGATGTTCAAAGTAAAGCCTTAGGGTGTATTATGCGGAAGCTGCTTTAGGAACCCCAAGGCATGGTAGTGTAGCAACCCTAAACCCTAAACCCTAAACCCTAAACCCTAAACCCTAAACCCTAAACCCTAAACCCTAAACCCTAAACCCTAAACCCTAAACCCTAAACCCTAAACCGTTGGTCTTCTATGTGAGGTGCCAAAACCAATCCTTGATCTGCTCATCCGCTGCCCGTGCCCGCGCAGAGCCAAGGCGAAAGAGTTCCTCTCCGGGTTTAGGGTTTAGGGTTTAGGGTTTAGGGTTTAGGGTTTAGGGTTTAGGGTTTAGGGTTTAGGGTTTAGGGTTTAGGGTTTAGGGTTTAGGGTTTAGGGGGTTGTTGCATTGAGAAACGTGCTTCGGATGACTGACACGCATCCTGCATTCTTCCTGCACATGCTGAGACCCAGTACTTCCTGAACGTCGAATCGAAAAATCCGAAAATCCACGTCACTGTCCCTAAGCCGCCCAAATGCCAAAGACACTGCACCCTCATGCCCATGGCATGCACCCTGAACCTACCCCGAAGCGTGTAACACTGATTCGCTCAACAACGCGCATTCCAAACCAGGAAGACTAGAACCCCAAACCCAGCTCTTGAACCCTAAGCACAGCTCGTGAAATCCGATTCACAGAACCTTCAACCCAAAGCGTACTCCCTAACTCCTTGGTTCCAAAACCATTATGCAATCCTCACATCCTCAACCTTCAAACCTCTCAAAACCTGCATCCCTGGACCCCCAATGAATCCCAAACCGTACTGCAGCCCAGACACCTAGCTCTGAAAACACCAAACCCCCACAAACCCCAAATCACTAATGTAGGGGCGGCCATGGTACTCAAAACAAGGCTTTGAAGTAGATCATACCATAGCAAGAACCGCAGCCCTAAGAAACATTCCGAAGCTTAACGCTTCAAGACCACTGCCGGACAGCATGCAGCGTGTTATTGTTGTCGATGTTGTATGCTTGCATGCGAACCTGCTGCACATTCATGCCTTGTGCATGCGCAGAGGTCGCGCGCGATATCTATGACATTGTTCAAAAAACTTCCCAGGGATTTTCCACGGCAGCTGATCGGATGGCTGCTGTCACGGTGGTTCCAGATATCCTCCTCTACACCGTCTCTACACAACTATTCGGTAATTATCAAACGTCTGCGCGCAAGTTGAATTGCATCTTTCGGTTACAAGGTAACTTCCGTTCGATGCAAAGCCGATCCGAATCTCGGCATCTGGATCATATTGTTTGTGACTGTGTTTTGTATCTTTGTATGAGAAAGACAACTAAGAAAAAAAGTGTAGAATTGAATACACAACGAACCTCGGGTGGGTCGGGCGGGCAACAAGCAGCCGCGCGTCAGGCTTGGCACACTCTTAACCCTAAACCCAAACCCCTTGACCCTTATAAATTTATAAACCCTAAACGCTAAACCTTGAAATGTCCCGTGGCCTCCGAGACTCGGCGGGAAGCCAGTTCTGAGCGATCGCGGGGCGCGGTGGCTTCAATTTAGAGCGTCAAGTTTAAGGTTTAAGGACAAGCTTCAGGTTTTTTGTTTCAGAAAACTTAGAGCTTCAGGTTTAGGGTCTAGGGTTTGGGGAAACTCAGAGCTTCAGGTTTCGGGTTTAGGGTTAAGGGATTAGGCGTTAGGGTTTAGGGTTAAGGAATTTGGGGTTAGGGTTTAGGGATTTGGGTTTAAGGTTTAGGGATTTGCGTTTAGGGTTTGGGGTTTACAGGTTTGCATTACCTCGCATACTTTGGTTGGCCGCAAATCACGCGGGGTTCTGCCACGTTATGGACTGTAAGGGCCTCAATAATTAGAATAAGGTTCTGGGACCCAATACACTATATCTATAACAAGGAACCCTCAAAAATAGTATAAGCAAGTGTTTAGGCCCCTATACTGCCTTCAAGCGGTCCTTCCTCCAAGATACCAGGTCTGCTCCCATGTTCGTAATATGGGGGCCTTAATAATTAGAATTCGGTGTTGGGGCGGGCGAAAGCCTGTCGACGAAGACCGAAACGAAAAACCAAAGTGTGCATCCTCAGAGAATGTGTAAATACAAGTGCAGAGAATGAACGAATCTATGACTTGCTGCAAATAGATTGCAGAAGGCGAAGCAATACCTAGTAACTTTGGGACTAGGAGTCCAAAATCTGTACACGGAAGTCTTTCGGTTTAGGGCATTTGCGTGTAAGCTTGCGCCGTTCACAAGAGAAGTTGACTGGCGCATTGCACGAAGCACATCTTTCAGTCTGTGCCCAAATTGGCTCAAGTATGTGCGCGCGCCATTTAGTCTCAGGAACTTTTTTGCCTAGCGCATCCTGAAACCTAGCAATTCTGGAGATGGCCGCCTTGAACCGTTTAAGTGGTCCTGGCCGAGCAGGTAAAGCACTACGAACTTCTTGTGCTGTCATCGTCAAGTGACAGTTGAGTAGTACATGTAATTTTGATGTCAGGTGGGTTGTGGTTGGCTTTTAAGTCACTGACAACAGCAACCCAAGGCGGCGGCCCGCTTTTCGAAGACAAACGCGGTAAAGCCCAGTTTTTGCAGATCCTTTCAGTCTCAAAACTTGGCTGCTTGTCAGTGAAGGCCGCATAGAAGTCGGCGGGAGTGATGCGCAGCACATGTGTGTTGACTTGTTCGTCAATTTCGTGTTCAACGAGGATATGCTGCAGTCTCATCGCAGAATAGATTTTGGAGCCCACTATACTATAATTACAATGAGGAACCCCCAACATCGTAGAAGGTAAGATTTTTCGGCCCTATAGTAATTTCGCAACACAAGTCGTATGAATCCCGGACTGACGGACTTCTGACTACGTACATCTGAAACCGAGGCTTCTAGCACAGGGCCCAAACCCTAAACCCTCAACCCTAAACCATAAAACCCTAAACCATAAAACCCTAAACCCTAAAACCCTAAACCCTAAAACCCTAAATCCTCACCTAATTAATCTTAGTCACTGACCCCTTTCCATCCTGCAGACATGGATCCGTCGAACTGCGCCTCGAGATTGCCAAGCTCCTAGTGGCTGCTGTAATCCCTAGGTTCCATTAGGGGTTCAAGGCTTTTCTTTGTTTTAAGGTGCAATGGCCTTTCACTCGCACGACAGGCCATCCCCATACGGGATGTGCACTCCTTAACAAGGGTTTCGGGTTTAGGGTTTGCAGATTTAAGCCATCTTCCTGAATTAAGGGGTATTGGAGTCCCCTAAACCCTAAACCCTACGCCCTATACCCTAACCCTTATGGATCCCTTGTAGATTCCTTTAAAGAACCAGTAATGCTCTTTGGTTTAGGGCCCGCAAGTTCCTTTTGTCCGGAGGCTTGAGCCCGAACTCCGACAGCCTCGAGCCCAAAGGCTCAAACTCGCGGACAAAAAACACAAAACCCTTGTATAGGGGCTTGGGATTAAGGGTTTAGGGTTCATAATTAAGGGTTTAGGGGCTTGGGATTAAGGGTTTCGGGTTTATACTTTAAGAGCTCAGGGGTTCAGGGTTTAAGGGTGAAGGGTTTGAGGTGTAGGCTTGCAAGGGGGTAGACTTTGGGTTTTGGGGTTCGGATTGTGGGCTGAGGGCTTTGGGTTTAAGATTTTGTACGCCCTAATCCCTAAATCCTGCTGAAGCATATGACCTATAAGAAGGATTTCAGGCTTCAGTGCCGAACTTCTAGAAGGTTTAGCGTTGAGAGTTTATGGTGAGTTAAATGTTGAGGATTTGTAGCTTTGGGGTGCGACGGGACGGGGAAGGGGCTAGCCATGGAAAGACAGGTTGCAACTGAGGCTGTGGCATAGCGCCGCTGGTGGATGTGAAGCGGCACGTTAAGAAGGAGCACTCCTTTTGCCCACTTCGTGCAATACCGGGCATGTGCAAGATGCCACTCGTACTGCTCTCTGCTCGCAACAGGCCGCGAGAATTGCCACGCAGCCGTGCAGAAGGAGGACGCCAACGCCCTTTGCCGGTCAGCCCTTCTTCGTCCTGGTGATTCACATTCGTATATGCTTCGAGTGCTCTCCCCTCCCACGATCACTCCTCGTTCAACCTGAACCACAACCTCGGTCAGGTTTATTCCCAGAACCATACGGCGATCGCCGGCCCGAGCCCTGTGAAATGCATCCTTACACCGCAAAGTAGAACGCCACTGCCAGGTTCTGGGACAAGGGGATCCAGGGGCTGTCCTGCAGCTGCTCAGCTACGACAGGTCACGCGCATTAGGTGCATCAGAATGCCCCGCACCTTGGGGTTCTCACCGATATGTTGAGCGATAGACCAGTCCCCGTCTCCTGTGTGGACAGCCAGGAACCAGGATCCCTGCATGCACAACAGGACTCCGAACGTGCGGTGCCTTTGGCGATGCGGCAGGCGTCGTAATCCGCCGCTCCTCGCCACACTCGCCCTCAGTACAGTTTGCGTTCGCCGGACCACCGGTGGACCGGTATGCTGGGATGGAACATGCACGTCGAGGCCCTCGCCTATGGCCGATTCTTCGTGTTCTCGATGTTCTACTTTGGCCAGGCGAAGCTTCGAGTTGCGATCGGCTCATGCAGGGGTTTTGCCGCTGTCCTCCAAAGGCTCGTTCCGCAGGTGGCGATAGAACGCCTGACTGGCGGAACGTGGCAGGAGTAGGCACGAAGTACGTTTTGTACAGCCTGCATGTGCGCGCAGAACGCGTACGCACCCCAGCGGAAACGTACATCGGATCGCAAGTTGTCGGCTTCCCTACGAGTATGGTCCAGATTGTCCTGTGGGGCGCGCCTTCTCCATCAACAGTTCAGGCTGACGGAACAACCCTCCGTCGGCAAGGTCCCTTGTGTCCTCCAGCACCTTTGCAGCAGTTAGGCAGTTCAGCATAACTAAAGACGGTGGCTCGTCCTGCGAGATATGCTCATTGAGGCTTCTGCGGCTTCGATGCAGGCCATATCCTCGACAGTCAAAGACGGAAAGATGATGAAAGATGCATTTGCAGCCCACGAGTGTTCCAGATAAAGACAGCACGTACCTCACGAGTGCAGTCGTCGAGATGTTAGCGACTGAGGAAACCACGGATGCACACAGACAGGTACGTGCCAGCAAGCGGCTGCTGATTGCAATTGACTTGAGAGAAAAGCTGTCTTGGCAAAGAGGAAGCAACGGATAACAACAGGCAAAGCTCTTGTCGCATGCGCTACTTTGAATGTGTCCCTGCAACTCAACTGCGGTTTTTCCCAGCCAGCACACTGCAAGCTCGCTGGACTCCGCGCGGTCACTGCAGAAAGTCGCAGATGGGGTTTAGGGTTTAGGGGTTTAGGGGTTTATAGAAATTGTTTAGGGTTTGGGTCCGGAGTTTTGTGCGGGTTTTGTGCGGGTTATGTGCAGTTTTGACCGGGTTTCGCCTTTTGCTGTTGCTGGGTGGTTGCTTTGGTGGGTCTTTTCGAGCGGCTTTGGGCGAGTGTCGCTCTTTGCTTCTGCTCTGTTCTCGCCTTTTTGCATTTGCGTATCGAAACTTTTGTTTGGGTTTGGGTCGGGTCTTTTTGCGGCTTTGGACAGGTTTGCTTTTTGCGTTTGCCCTTCAAAGCTTTTGCTTGGGCTTGGGGCGGAATTTGATCGGATTTCGCTTTTTGCTTTTGCCCTTCGGAAATTTTGCTTTGCCCTTTCAACTTCTTTTGCCGATTTGCTTGGGTTTGGGGGGTTGTAACTCAGAGTTTGAGTTCGGGTTTAGGGTTTAGGGTGACGTTTTGCAGGACTGACTGTTCAAGTATGCGGTCAAATCGTCCTCGCAGCTTAACCTGCAAGCTCGGTGAATAAAAGTAGGCACCTTGATGTTTCTAAATCGACTTCGACGGGCACGATGTAGACTTCCACGCCCTAAGCCCTAAACCCTAGGTTGTACCCTGTACTTGCTTTGGTCCTTCTCCGCCCTGTTGCTCAGCCGCTGCATGAGATAGTCAGCAGCGGTGCCTCGCGACGGCATGAAGCGGACGTCGTGATGTTAGGGCTTAGGGGTTTAGGGCCTAGGGGAGTCTGGGGGTTTTAGATGGCTTAAAGGGCTCGTGGTTTAGGCTGTCAGGATAGCAACTTTAAGGATATTCGTTCAAGGGCTATCGGTGGAGTTGAGTTAGCCCTGTGCGCCTTGAGTGTGAGCATTGTCGATGAGGGTCTTTGGGTGAGCAGGTTCCGCTTGCTGAGTGTGAGGGCTAAATGGGTTTCTACTCATGCTGTTTGTTTGTTGTTGCTCTTCGATGCAGTTCATCTGCGGTCATCCGGCTGCATCACTGAGTCCCTATCTAGAAGCAGCCTCCTCTAGCATGCCAAGACCCCTGCCAATGGATGGACTTCGGGAAGTCCAATTCAGCTTCGATTGTAAGATGGACCGTGGTACCCGGATTGGCAACTTGGACAATCTGCGCTGAACTCTACTATTAAACCCCAAACCTTTCCATCCCTTTACCGCCAATGATCTGCTATTCAGGAGAGCCCCTGTCGGGGTGACTCTGCCTTGACCTATTTTGCACAGCCTGGCACATTTCAAGACCCGAAGAAGGGAGCCGGCGGTCCGAAAGAAACCCTAAACCCCGCTGAAACCCCCCAAACCCACCCCCCCCCCCCCCCCCCCCCCCCAAAAAAAAAAAAAAAAATCCCCTAAACCGTAGGCCCCTACGCCCTGAAAACAAAGTATCCAGCGAGGGCGGAGTGCGGAGTCTCGAACCTGATGGGTTCTTGCTAAGGGATTTCTCAAATAAGTTACTATAATAGGGATCTATAGTAAATTAATAGGGATCTATAGTAAATTAATAGGGATCTATAGTAAATTAATAGGGATCTATAGTAAATTAATAGGGATCTATGGTAAATTAATAGGGATCTATAGTAAATAATATGGCTTCCTTATGATGATGGTGCCTTAATACCTTAAAACCCTTGACCCTTAAAGGAGCCCCTTTATAGATCCCTTAAAGGAACCCTAGGGTTTCCTTGTTATGGTACCTTAAATTAAATCCCCTAACAGGAACCCAGACTGGGGCCACCACTGACGAGCCAGCCCAGAGGAGGCGGCAGAGGCAGGACTTCTCCTTCGGGCTCGGTTTAGGGTTTAGGGTCCATGGTTTAGGGTTTAGGGTTCATGGTTTAGGGTTCATGGTTTAGGGTTTAGGGTTTGGGGTTCATGGTTTAGGACTTAGGGTTTAGGGTTCATGGTTTAGGGTTTAGGGCTCATCGTTTAGGGTTCATGGTTTAGGGTTTGGGGTTCGTGGTTTAGGATTTAGGGTTTAGGGTTCATGGTTTAGGGTTTAGGGTTCATGGTTTAGGGTTTAGGGTTCATCGTTTAGGGTTCATGGTTCAGGGTTTAGGGTTTAGGGTTCATGGTTTAGGGTTTAGGGTTTAGGGCTGCGTTCGGGTCTTTGTCAGAGTTTGCTGAAGTTCGGAGGATGGAGAACTTCTGTTAACTGCCTTTTTCCTGTGTCTGTGGGAAGGCTAAAGGATGCTAAAGGTCTTTTTTCTGTACCTTGTCAGAGTCTGTGCGAAGTTGAAATGAAATTAATTGTGCGGTCTTCACTGGCTTCAAGACTTCGAGAGCGGTTTGGAGGTCAGGGTTTCGGGTTTGAGTTTAGGGTTTAGGCGACTTCGGAAAGTGCTTGACAGGCTGAGCATTTCACAGGGTTGAGCATTGCATTTCCGGGGCTGTCGTTAGCCTAGCCCCTACACACCAGAGAACAAAACCTACACCCTATACACTAACTTACAGTACTTACACCCTGTTCAGGTTGTCTGTTTGTCGAGGCAGGCTCGAACAGCAAAGACAGCCAATCAAGCCTTATGCCCTGAAACTCTAGACCCAAAACCCTCTGCCCCAAGACTTCGGTTTATGGCTCAAGGCTTGGGACTTGCGGTTTCGGACCTCCACCATATCCTCAAACACCTCACTCTCAACCCTAAACTCTAAACCCGTACCTCTGAACCTTAAACCATGAACCCCAAACCCTCGGAACTTCAAGCCTAGCTGCTGCTTGAGAAGTTCGGCTTCGAGACTCGATACTACGGAGGGGCTCCGGTGATTGAAACTACTGAGTCAGTTAAGTTGCCCCCGGTACTGTTGATGATAGAAATCCTGCATTACCTTAAGGGCCCTGAACTATGGGAATTGTGGTACATATTCCTTATTATGGGTACTGCAGGATTTATATCATCAACCGTATTGCGTCAAAACGCTTGACGCCACGACTGTAATCTGAACCCCCGACCCCCAAACCGAAACCCAACGCCCAAAGCCTACACTGCAGGCCAAACCCTACACTGCAGACCTTGGACTGCAAACCCCGACAACCCCTACCCCCCAGAACCTAAAGCCCCCAAACCCGAACGTAATGTAAACCTCAGACCCCTGAACCCTAAAACCCGAAGCGCTAAACGCCCTCTTGCACTGCAGAACCACTCCCTAAGCTCATATCGAACCCTTACGGCGCCGCTTACAGCCCTGCAGCAACAACACGCCACCGCAACCGTATTACAATAGACTCCATACAGAGCCCTGTAAGAAGCCTCATGCAACCCCTACGGAACCGCGAACCCTAATATAGGGGCTTTAATAATTAGAATAGGGTTTTGGGGCTCATTATAGTATAACTATAATAAGGAACCCCCAAAATAGTATTGGTGATTATTTAGGCCCCTACATTAAAATCAGAAGCGGGGAGGTCCCGCGAGCTGGAGGCATGCAAGGAAGAACATTGCCACCGGCTCCCAGGTGTGCTTCGAGTCGCTGTCTACGAGGGCCACGGTGGCCTGGAGCTCAGGCTTACGGCTTTCAGGTGGCGTTCCGGCTTCCAGGCTGGGGAGTTTGGTGTTTGTGGGGTTGTGGGGGAGGGGGGGCGCGACGGTTGCTCTGCTGCCATCATTGGTATCGAAATGGCAGCTACCACCACCAGGAGACCCACCACCACCAACACCACCCTCGCCGCCACCTCCCGACCACCACCACTTCTTTCTGTTCTTCTGCTCGTCATCATACTTCTACTGTTACTACTACCACTACTACTACTCCTCCTCCTCCTCCTGCTCCTCTTCCTCCTCCTCCTCCTCCTCCACCTACTCCTACTCCCACTCCCGCTCCCAGTGCCGCTGCCACTGCCACTGCTACTGCTACTGCTACTACGAATACACTTTCCAACAACCATTGCCAGCCGTACGATGCTGTCAAAGGAATCGGTGATAAATGACGGTACGTCTCATCATCGTGGAAAAATGAACAAGGTCCTAAGTCTTCGTACCAGTGTCGTCCTCAATGTTGCTCATGCTGGTTATTTTGTCTACATGACATGTAGAAACCGCTACACTACGATCGCCAGTTTGTTGTTACTGGTATCACGGTACGTACAACATTGACCCCTCAAGGTTGAAGCTGCAAACAGGACTTGAACTTAAAGCTGAAGCTGAAGATAACAAGCTCGGATGCTTAGGGTTTAGGCTGCGTCAAAGAATGCTGGGCGGACTGTACGAGCTCAAGACGTCCCACACGAGGGATTATTATCAGCATGAGGGCGTTGGAGCAACAGCTCATGGTTCAGAAGCCACGGCTCGCATGGTAAGACCTGGTGCCGCAAAGAGGCATTCAAGAATAGTCGACCTGTCTTTCCGCACCTGCACAGAACATGTGATGCTTTTGGAGTGCTTCCGGAACGAGAATCCCAGCAACACCCATGTGGTCTGGCCGGATGCAAGCTAGGTGAAGCAGGCCCAAGTGCTAAATCATGGGCTACTACAACATAGTCACCAGCATGAGGGCGCCCACGACGACGACGACGACGACGACCACGATCGCTACCACGACCACAACGACTTCGACCACAGGTACTGCTGCTGCTGCTTGAGCTGCTACTACTACTACTACGACGACGACTACTACTACTACGACTACTACCACTATCACTACCACTATCACCACCACTACCAGCACCAGCACCAGCACCAGCACCAGCGCCAGCGCCAGCGCCAGCTCCAGCGCCAGCGCCAGCGCCAGCGCCAGCGCCAGCGCCAGCGCCAGCGCGCCAGCGCGCCAGCGCCAGCGCCAGCGCCAGCACCAGCACCAGCACCAGCACCAGCACCAGCACCAGCACCAGCACCAGCACCAGGACCAGGACCAGGACCAGGACCAGGACCAGGACCAGGACCAGGACCAGGACCACGACCACGACCCCGACCGCTACCGCTCCCGCTGCCGCTGCCGCTACCACTACCACAACCACCACGACCACGACAACGACCACGACCACGACCACGACCACGACCACGACCACGACCACGACCACGACCACGACCACGACCACGACCACGACCACTACCACTACCACTACCACTACCACTACCACTACCACTACCACTACCACCACTACTCCTACTACTCCTACTACTCCTACTACTCCTACTACTACTACTACTAATAATAATAATAGTAATAATAATAATAATAATAATAATAATAATAATAATACTACGACTGCTACTGCTACTGCTACTGCTACTACACTAGTACTACTACTACTTCTACTTCTGCATGCTACTACTACCACCTACTACTCCTGCTACTGCTACTACGACGACGACGACTACTACTACTACTACTCCTCTTCCCTTCCTCCTGCTCGTCCTCCTCCTCCTGCTCCCGCTCCTGCTCTCGCACTCTCGTGTTACTGATACTCCTACCGCTCTTGCTCCTGCTCCAACTCCTACCCCTACCCCTCCGAATCCTGCGCCTACGCCTACACCTACTCCTACTGCTGCTACGACGACGACGACGACGACCACCACATCCAGCCGTGGCGCTCTTGCTGCGGCGATCACTGGTTAAGCCCAACATTCTATCCTGAATCATACCACTAGTAGATAGTACGGTTGGCCCGCTCTCTCAACCAGCAAACCCAAGGCCTCTCAAACCTGGACACTCTCGGACATGGTATGTATAATTGTAAGTTAAAAATTTGGGAGTCCGATGCTAATCACCATAACCTGCCCTTAACCCCTTAACCTTAAAAACGAGAACCCTGAACCACACATGCGGATATTCAAAGCCCCCAAATGTGAAGGTTTCTCACCGTAAACCTTACAGCATAACATCTAGTCCTTCCGTAGTGACCAACTTTTACGTCGAAAGCAGAATACGACACCGCCAAACCTAGGCCCATGAACCCGACACCCTCGAACAAAAACCCTGAATCCCATACCCTGAACCCGAAACACTGAAAGACACGAAGCCGAAATCCTTAAACTCCGACATCCCCGAAACCGCGAACCCAGAACACACACGCCCTTAGACCCTTGCACCCTTGCACCCCAAAACCCCACGTCCACAATCCTAAAACCCTTATAAAACCCCTGGATCTCTGACTGAACTCCACATCGCAGGCACCGCTCCGGGGCGTTTAGAGAGGCATCATTCGTTCCTGAAGAAGCCTCGCGCAGGTTTGAATGCTTGGTGGAACCCTTGCTTGGGTTCAGGGTAAGGGTTTCGGGTTTAGGATTTGGGGCACTGTTAGCTTCTATCTATTTTCGAAATTCTGCTGTCGTTTATCTGCTATCTCGCAGCTGTTGTCGCCCGTCTCTCTCTCCCCTATATCCAGTATCTGCGGCCTGCTACCTGCTTGGTACTATATTCTCCACACCTGCCAATCTTGCTGCGGCAATCCTCCCTTCCCTAGATTCACAACCATCGCAGACAGCACTGGCGTTGAAGCCGTAGATAGGCCATACCCCCCAAGCCTCATTCTAAGATCACCAATCCAAGGCATGCGAAGATCATCTGTGATCAAGCTGATTTGGAGTATGGGCTGCGAGGCTGGCAATTGTCGGCTTTCGGGCTCATAAATCCCTATCACTGCATAGGGTTTAGGGTTTAGGGTATCCAGAAACGCAAGAGCCCTGACTGAACCCTGCAGAACCCTTCAAGCACAGACTGGAAGACAATGCCAAGAAGCCACCACGGCAGTGCATAGCCACTTAACCTCAGCTTGGAGAGCCTGCATCTTACGATAGAGTTTTTGGGGTTCTAGGCAGTTCTAGGTGACACGACCGACGAAGAGCTGCGCGAATACCCATCTTGGCAAGCCGATAGGTAGAGGGATAGATAAAAAGAAAGTCTGGCAGGCGGCTGCAAAACTGAAAACAAGATGGACCGACAAGCACGCCAACGTACGCAGCACAAGATCTGCCACCGCCAAACCCAACAGAACCTCCCTAAACCCTAAATCCTGAACTGCCGATGACAATTTGCCTGCGTACTCGAGGCTCCGACCGAGGCTACCGGCCGAGTGTCTCGACAGAACTTTGAGGGAGGGTCAAACCTCACGGTTTTTTGGGACGCAAATAAATCGAGCGGCCTGCACAGGCCATCCATATCAAATGTGGGTTGCTGTGACATGTGGTCGTTTCTGACTCCAAAAAAAACGGAGAGCAAGAAACCCCCGTCTCGAGGAGGGTTGGGGGGGGGGGTGAACCCCAAGCCCTTGCTGAGCATAGTCGGAGTGGTTGGGGCAGGATTACATGCTAACGCAAGCACGCATAAGTGGGCGTGCACCGCTGTTTAAGTAGAATGTGGTCCACCGGGCGCACAATACACGAACATCCAAAACTCTAAAATTCAAACTCACAAGCACACCAAGGGGCCACGCGCGGTGAGTCTGCAGCTTGGCGCAGAAGCTTAAGCAGTAGATGGGAATCTTCCTCGGTGCAGTTTTAAGGTTTAGGGCTTCGTTTCAGGACGTGTAAAGTTTCCGGCACAGCTTCAGGTTTCCGTGTCTGGGACAGGTATGTTCAGGTGTAGAAACTGAACGCGTGCGCCCAGAAACCTGTATGTGATCTCCAGATGCAACCCTGAGTCACTCAAGCGCAGCACTTTTCCGGACTTCCCTTGTGCTACGTCCCGGATTAAGCGTTCAGGGTTTGGGGGTCAGGGGTTAGGTTTAGGGATGCGGATTTGTGTCCTTCTCCTATATGCTCCTTCGTCACTTGCTCAAACTTCATTGGCGGCCTCCTCGCAGATGGCATGCAGGTCCGGGATCTGCTTCCAACTGTCATCCGTGCTACACCTGTCGCTTTGCACAGGCTGCACGACTTTGGTTTCCAAGGTTCCACGTCGCGGAAGTTTCAGTATGCTGTATTTCAACAGAGCAAAGGGTAACCAGACTTACGCTGCAGATAGGGCTGTAGAAAAGATGTCGTTGTCTGCGGTATAGCGTCGCAAAACGCTCGACAAGCATGGGGCACAAGCTTACACTGGGTATGAGTTGAATAATAGCAATCAGAAGCGGAAGAGTCATAGTCGCAGTTTTATTAGGTTCAGAAGAACTGTAACAGGAATACTGACTTACGTGCTATCCTGAGTATCACTGTTAAAGTTGATTTTTAAACCCCCTTCTCCAACTGCAATGGTCTCTAATATGCAACGGAATCGACTGACGTGAAAGGAGCTCGGGACAGCTTAGTCATCCCTTGCCAGGTAGGCAAGTTTGGGCACGGTAGGCTTCAACTCGAGAATAAACCAAGCACATTATTGCCATATAAGCGCTTGTACGAGTACATATTTCACAAGTGTAAGTATCATGGCCTGAACATAGCTGCTATGCAATTGTTCTTCGTCAGGTGCTTAACCTGTCTATGTTCTTGTCTTAGCAACAACGGGAGCCTCTGCCGCGTGGAGTTCAAGAGGCCACGTGTCAGTCGCTGCGCTTGCTGCTTCGCCTCCTTGGCAGCAGGAACTCTTTGAGGTGTAGGATTGGTGCTCTAATGCAGGGGCCTTGGTAATTAGAAGAGGTTTTGGGACACTATACTAAAGTCATAATCTGGAACCTCAAAAACCCCATTCTAACTATCAAGGTCCCTACGTTAGAACTGCTGAGGGCTGAGGGTTTGGGCGTGGGGATCGAGGAGTCCGGAGCCCCCTAAGCCCGTACTCCGGGAGCCTGAACACATACAGAGCCTCAATCCTTCTCGATTAAAGGAGTGGGGCCTGAAGAATAGTCCAAGGTTTAGTTGCGGATCCCTTGAAGGCTTTAGGCTTTAGGTCTTCGGGTGTTGGGCTTTGGGACCCTTTCTGTGCAGAGCTCGGCCGCTAGACTCTGAGTCCGAAACTCCCTAAACCCTCAACTAGGATACCCAGTAACCTAAGAATAAAAAGGCCTCTCTTTTTGGTATTGGGTAACTTTATAAGGAACCTAGGACTACAAAAAGGGAATAAGGGTACCACTGGGCATCCTAGTCAAAGCAAGGAGGTAGGATCCTCATCTCGAAATGGGTGCCATACTGGGGCAGATTGTCGTAGTGTTATGCAAACCAGGGAACCGGAAGGAATACTACTACTACTACTACTACTACTACTACTACTACTACTACTACTACTACTACTACTACTACTACTACTCCTGCTGCTGCTACTACTACTACTACTACTACTACTACTACTACTACTACGACGGCCACTACTACTTGCTCCGACCCCTGTACTGCTAAGGGCAAAGGGGTTTGGGTTGCTTGGAGCCGCTATCCAGCCCATCTTCATCCCTCCATCATCAACGCCAACATCAGCAGCAGCAAGTTTAACGCTGTCATCAACACCATCATCCCCTGCACCCTAAACCCTCCCAGCACCGTGATCACGATGAAGCGAGGAAAGACATATCCTCCGCACCTCTCCGGGTTTGCCGTAAAAGATGCAACCCGAAGGCCTAAATCACAGGTGAAACCCCAAGACACACGTGCTCAGCCAAGGTCCCAAGCCCGAAACCGCCAAACCCTAAACCTTACTCTCTAAACCCTACGGTTGAGGACATAGAGCCTGCATTACCTTAAGGACCCTACACTATGGGGATTATAGTATATTCCCTATTAGAGGTAATGCAGGATTTATATCCCTAAACCCTAAACCCCAAAACCCCCTAGATCCCTGAAAAACCCTAAGCGGTACCCTTATAGATCCCTTTAAAGGACCCCAAGATTTATATCATCAACCGTATCGCCCTCAGAACGTCTCGTCCTCCGCATCATCAAACGTGAACATAGTCTCTCCATCTGACTCCTCCTCCTCCTCCTCCACCTGCGCCAGATTCGGATACTGCAGGGGCCTTCTTCACTAGAGTAGTGTTCTTTCAGAATATACTATAATATACTATAATATGCTATAATATACTATAATATATTACAAAATACTACAATCAACTATAATATATTATGATATACTATAGTATACTATAATATACTACAATATACTGCAATAATATACTACAATATACTGTAATATACTATAATATACTATAATATACTATAATATACTATAATTAACTATGATATACTATAATATACTATAATATACTACAACATAATATAGTAAACTAGAATAAACTATAATATACGATAATATACTACAATATACTATCATATGCTATCATATACTCTAACCTACTACAACCTTTTGCTAACTTCCGCAATCTACTATAATCACTAGAGTTGTATTCCTTTACAATATTATGCGATGGATGGGGTTACAGGGTTGTGCAGGGTCTCAAAAAAGTTTGCATGAGGGCCCTCGATATGATACAACTCTAAACGGATTGTAAAGGGATACTAGGAACTACTATAGCTATTTGCTCAGACCCCCCATCCTGCCCCCCGAAGGTGACCGTCAGAGTCCAGGCTCCCCACACGAAACCCTTATAGTAGCCTTTATAGTAACCCTTACTAGACCCACTACTCTAAGTAATTATTATCCCCGTGGTGACGGACTTTTCGTGTCGAGTCTCTAAGAAACGAATTGCCCGAAGACTGTAAATCCTAAACCCGTAAACCCCAGACCCTAAATCCCTGAACTGACAACCTTAACCCCGATAACCCAAACTCCGGAGCATAAGCAAGGCACATCTTAACCCTATCTCCTGGGATCCTTGAGTCGGTGTCGCTTTCAACGGTCCCCGAAGTTGCTTATAATCAGGGCTTGATATTTAGCAAAAGGGGAAATTAAAAATCATCCCAAATCGATACCTAGTCAAGTAAGTAACTGAAAGCTCCGAGTCTAAGTCTCGGGAACTAGCCGGTTTCGTGGCTTCAAGGGTCTACCAGGATACCCAGTAACCTAAGAATAAAAAGGCCTCTCTTTTTGGTATTGGGTAACTTTATAAGGAACCTAGGACTACAAAAAGGGAATAAGGGTACTACTGGGCATCCTAGACCATGTACACCCTGAAGGGACACAGCACTTTTGCACAGTAATGCAGGGGGCCTTAATAAGTAAAATAGGGTTTTGAGGGTCCCTTATCATGATTATGGTGCAATATACTCTAAACCCTAGTCAAACTATTAAGGCCCCTATATTACGACATCGTGTGGTGCCTTTTGAGAACTCTGCCTGCTTGTTCTTGTCTTGCAGCACCCCGAAAGTGTCTGACACACTTTGCTCTTGTCGGGTCGGGACGAAACACCAGGTTTGCGCACTTACAGGATCATGGCTAGTGAGACGAAGGCAACCTTTTGCATAAATTTGTGTGAACCGTCAGACAGTGTCAATTGTGTCACGACAAGCCTCCGGTAGCGGAGCCAGAGCACGACGTATCGAGGTCAGCACATTCCGGCTCTGCGATACCGCGGCCTCCATGTGGGTTTCGGATTTTGGGGGCATAGGATCAGGTTTTAAATGCTGGAGGATTGGCGCAAGGTTCCACACTCAATTGCACGGAAGGCACGGCATACATCACCGCCATCAACATGTCTTCATGGCCGCAATCATCACAGCAACGGCACAATCATCTACACCTTCACAAACACCATGCCATCGTCATGCTTGTCCTGTCAGTATGGTCATTGTTCGCCCACGAGAATTATGACTACTGCTGCCCTGAACCCTAACCCTACACATCTAAACTCGTGAGAAACCCAAAACCCTAGACCTTAAACCCTAAACCCTAAAACCCTAAACCTTAAACCCTAAACCCTAAACCCTAACTCACAATTGTAGGGGCCATGGAGCCGCTCTATCCCAGCCTAACATCACATATAGACTTCAAGAACCCCATATATGGCTGTAGGGCCTGTTCAATTACCAATACTATTTTGAAGGTTTTTTTTTACAAGGATCCTTAAAGGGGTCTACAAGGGAATTACAGTAGCCTCGCAGCCCGTACCTCCGAAACTCCGAAATCTCTCAAACCCCACACCGCCTACACTCTAAAACTTCCACAAGTTCCTCTAACCGGGGTACTTGCCAGGGTTTAAATTTGAGTTACCATAATAAAGAAACCATGTTGTTAACCATAGAGCCCTGCAATGATGGTATCTTAAATCAACTTCCTTTAACAAGAACCCTTATAGAACCCTTAAAGGAACCCTAAAAATATGGTAACTTAAGTTATAGATCCTTTGACCAGAGCCCAGGAACCCTAAGCCTGCCTCCACCTCCACCTGGGTAGTGTCCCTTTTTGGGTACCCTGAACATTAGGTGCCGTACTATGGTAAGGACCCAAAAAGGAACCAAATTTTTTTGACAACCCCTAAACCCTAAACCCAGAACCCAGCAACCCTAAACCTGCCTCCACCGCCACCTCGTGGCGCTCCCTCAAGGCTGCCGAAAGGGGGAGCAGCGCGCAGGCCAAAGAAAGCCAGCCCATGGCTGCCGCTGTTTTGGCCCTCTTCGGGCACTCCGGAAGGGCCCAGGAATCCTGTGTGGGTTCTATAAGGGTTGCGGGTTTAAGTTGGATTTATGCTTGTGATTTCCAAGGTTTTTTGGGTTATCACAGACCTTTCATGGGCATGACAGGCTACGTTCACGGGCTTGGGGTTGGGGCAGTGCCGCAATTCAAACTGTCGAGTTTAATTGGGTTTTCGAGATGTGCCGACCTGGGAATGTGGATCGATGGTTTAGGGTTTATGTCTTATGTGATAGGGTCTAGGGTTAAGGGCTGCGGGCTACTTGGCGGTTCGTTATAATTGGGGTTAGGAGCCCCCTAATATAGGTTGTAACCATAGTTATCCTACCTATAACCCTACTTCTAACCACCCATCAACCTTCAATTAGAGCCTATACCTATACCCTTATAGAATCCCTCTAGATCCTTTTAAAGGGACCCTGAAAGGAACCTCAGCTACTAAGGTTAAGAGCTACGGGCTAGAGGTTTCAGACTATTCACTTCAGGTTGGGTCACGGACGTACGAACCTAGACCTAAGAGTAACCTAGGAATAAAAAGGGCGCCCTTTTTGGTTTAAAGGGGGTCATAAGGGAACCCAAACCCTAAAACAGGGAATAAGGGCCTACTCCGGGTCGAAGGAACTAGGTTTTGCAGACCTGCAGAGACCTTGAGCCGACAAAAGCCGGAAGAAGAAGATGGCTTAGGGCTTAGGGTTTGAGTTTTAGGGTTTATGTTTTAGGGTTTGGGGTTTAGGGTTTGGGGCTTCGGGTTTGGGGTTGAGGGTTTGGGGTTTAGGGGTTTGAGGTTTGGGGCTTGTGGTTTAGGGTTCAGGGCTTAGGGGAGCAACTCTGCAGGCTGCTGAGCTTTGAACCGTACAGGACCCAGATACCACAAAACGCGAAGCATCCCAGCCAAGACTCCCCTTATGGGGGCTTCCGAAAATAGGGGACCCTAATATGGTACCCTAAATAGTAGGATCCTTCTTATAAGGACCCAAAATAAGGTAGCCTTAAATTTCGGAAACTCCCATATGGGCTGACGGTACCCTAAACCCTAAACCATAAGCCCTGATATCTAAAGCACAACGACAGTAATGTAAAGGCCTTAACAATTAGAATAGGTTTTGGGGGACCATTATGCTATACTTATAATAAGGAACCCCCAAAATGGTGTAGGTAATTATTAAGGCCTCTACGCTGATGAAGCCGGGAGAGTTTTGGATCTTGTGGCTGGCCATGGCTAGCCAGGCCTCCAGCCCATGGAAGATCTTGTCCAGCTAATAAGGGACCCAAAAAGCACATAAGCATAAGCACTTTATAGGGATATCCCTACCTTATGGGACTTCATTATAAGGGGGTTCATGTGGGATATCCCTATCCTAATATTTGCATATGTGCTTTTTGGGGGGCCCTAGCTAGGATTAAAACAGAGAGGAACCGGATCAGCCGGGCAGACTGACCCCGCAGCTCATCCACCGGCCTCCATGTAGACCTCTGATTCAAACTTCCGTCTGCTCAGGACCCCAGAGAGCCCAATACCCCTTAATTCAGGAATATGGCTCAAATTATATCGGGCTTCATATAATGATTTAAGCTATATTCCAAAATTAAGGGGTATTGGGATCTCTGGGACCATGAGTAAATGGATCCCAGTTGTCATTTGTCATCCTGCTTGCAACGGAAGGGAAAGGCTTTATGAATCAGGGGTCTGCATTATGCCTTGAAACTCGAGGAAAGCCAACCGGTCAGAGCTCCTGCAAAGGAGTCTTCCCAGCCCGCATCGGCAAAGCAATGTGCTTGGCCTTTGGCCACAATGCAACTTGCCGTGGGGAATAATTTCAAGAAGACGGGATTCATCGTGGCTGGTGGGTAGATGCAATCATGCTCCGCTGACAAGATCAGCACTGGCTTTTTCCCGATCTTGGCAAATGAGTGGGCTGAGTCGAAATAGTGCGAGTGCGTGGGAAAGCCGTCCGCCGAGGCCTCCACCACGGTCCTGAAATCCGAAATGGAACATCGGAAGCTCTAAACCCTCACCCCCTAAACCCTAAATCCCTACGACGACCGAAGCCAATAACTACCTGAGCTCTAAAACCTGCCCGGTCCCAAAAAAAACCTTAGAGAGAGCTAAACCGACACATTTATAAAAATAAAAGACAAAGCTGTATATGAATATGAGGATTTAGGGTTCCGTATGGGGAGTAGGGTTGTCTTTTGGAGCTTAAGCAAAACGGTCCTCTGAACATACTCCTCCATGCCCCCTTCGGTGACCGTCGTGCTGCAAGCTAGCTCTGAGTTGGATGAAAGGAAGAAAATCCGCCTCACTCTCTTCTGCGGTGTTCGGGTTTTGGTTTTGGGGTTTATGTAGGGCTTGGGGCTCAGGGTTTAAGAGCTTAGGTCGTTTGGGCTGTCGATATAAGCAAAGCTCTGTCAGATGTTGGGGGGCCTTCGGGGTTAAGACTTGAAAGGCTTCGAGCTTCGAGCCTCTGCGGTTGAGGGTTTGGAGACACCTCCAAACCCTGAAACCCCCGGCTTCAAGATTTAGGGCCTTGCGTCAGTTTTGGCTTTGGAGTCGGGTCTCTTCCGCTCCTGGAGTCCTAAGCAATCACCCCATTTCCTGCTTGTCGGGTATCATGGGGAACTAAAGGTGAACCTTTTTGGTTATAGAGGGATTATATAGGGACTGTACTACCCAAAGAAAGTTAAAGGTTGCCTACTCCACTACTAGGATTTTTGAGTTTACAGCAGCGTGTTGGGTCCTGCCTCATGCACCAGCTCGACCACAGGCGGCCTGTCAGCTGATAGTATGCTGAACCCATGAAGCCCAAGCCGTGGAAGATCGACTTGATGTCCATGTCCTTCACAATCTGCCTCGGCTTATGTTGGAGCCGCCCTTTTCTGAGCATGCCTATCTACCTACCTACCTATCTACCTGCCTTTAAATATGTATATATATATATGTATGTATATATACATATTTTTTGTTGAGGTCACGGAATAGAAGAAGGGAGCTTCCTGACAAGCTGTGATGCATGGCCACTGGCATCATCTTGATCAACTCCCAAAGCGAGGATGCCGGAACACTGCCAACGAAGACTGCCCCAGCAAAACGCTCTGCCAAACCGGCATCTCGGACGAGATATTGAGACAAGATCCTGGGCTCTTGTTGCGAAACTTAAGCAAGGGCATCCCAGCAAGAAAAGTAGAGTACGTGCTAAACCAGGAGCCCTCAACCCTAAACCTAAACCCTAAACCCTCAGCCCTAAACCCTAAATCCTCAACCCTCAACCCTCAGCCCTAAGCCCTAAATCCTCAACCCTCAACCCTCAGCCCTACAGAACATCACGCCCTGGTGGCCAGCCCTAAGCCCTAAATCCTCAACCCTCAACCCTCAAGCCTAAACTACCTCGAGCTCCTGAACATGGGCCCAGGATCCCACCCTGGCTGTGTCCGATGACCACCAAGTGGCTCTCACCATGCAACTTGCCTAGGGTTTAGGGTTGAGGGTTGAGGATTTAGGGTTTAGGGTTGAGGGTTGAGGATTTAGGGTTTAGGGCTTAGGGTTCAGCAGCTCCGGATCGAGCAGTTTTAAAGTAGAGTTGTGTTTACGGTTTAGAAATAACACCCACCCACCCTTAGAATCCCATAACATCAGGGAAATACAAAGTTTCACTTCTTTCGCAGCTTGAAACCTTAAACCCTGAACCCTTAAACCCTGAACCCTTAAACTCTGAACCCTTAAACCCTGAACTTTGAAACCCTGAACTCTTAAACCCTGAACCCTCAAACCCTGAACCCTTAAACCCAGATCCGAAGTGGCCTTGCCCACGAATCCATTAAGGTTGGAAGGAAATTTTGGGCCTTGCCCACGAATCCATTAAGGTTGGTAGGATTTTGGGCCTTGCCCACGAATCCATTAAGGTTGGTAGGAAATTTTGGGCCTTGCCCACGAATCCATTAAGGTTGGTAGGAAATTTTGGGCCTTGCCCACGAATCCATTAAGGTTGGTAGGAAATTTTGGGCCTTGCCCACGAATCCATTAAGGTTGGTAGGAAATTTTGGGCCTTGCCCACGAATCCATTAAGGTTGGTAGGAAATTTTGGGCCTTGCCCACGAATCCATTAAGGTTTTGGGCCTTGCCCACGAATCCATTAAGGTTGGTAGGAAATTTTGGGCCTTGCCCACGAATCCATTAAGGTTGGTAGGAAATTTTGGGCCTTGCCCACGAATCCATTAAGGTTGGTAGGAAATTTTGGGCCTTGCCCACGAATCCATTGAGGTTGGTAGGAAATTTTGGGCCTTGCCCACGAATCCATTAAGGTTGGTAGGAAATTTTGGGCCTTGCCCACGAATCCATTAAGGTTGGTAGGATTTTGGGCCTTGCCCACGAATCCATTAAAGTTGGTAAGAAATTTTGGGCCTTGGCCACGAATCCATTAAGGTTGGTAGGAAATTTTGGGCCTTGCCCACGAATCCATTAAGGTTTTAATTACTATATGATAAAGACATTGAGGGTTGAGGATTTAGGGTTTAGGGCTTAGGGTTGAGGGTTGAGGATTTAGGGTTTATGGGTGAGGTTTAAGAGGCCTTGGAAAAATCCTCGTAGAGGTAAGGTCCTCTTGGATTCAATAGGGGAAAATACAACATGTCCCAAAGGCCGACCCAGTTGCCCACTTCTGTCATAGTACCCTCGATGTCAAGTAGGTGACTGCCGATGCCCTGGCAGCGACCTGACCGCAGGTGCAGTGCATAGGATCCAAATCCTGCCGCAGCGAGCACGTCCTCGCAAAGGCCGTGTGAGTTCGTACTTTGGGAATTTGGGTTCCTGGAGTGCTATAGATGTGCTCCCCACAATGGACATGCTCGTGCTGGCTGCTTCTCACTGTGTCCTGAAGCCGCCTCCAAAACCAGCTGCCATGCCACATCCCATGAATCAGGAGCACACGGATGGGCTTGCCATCAGCTTTGCATGTCACCGGCAG